GGGGGGGGGGGGGAAGAGGGAGAAATGGGGGGAGGGGAGGGGGGGTAAGGAAAGGCGGGAAAGGGAAGGCGGGAGGGGAGGGAGGAAGGCGGGAGTAAGCCTAATGCGTGAAGGTAAATTTAGGTAATGGGAGGGGCGGGAAGGGGCGGGAAGGGGGAGGGAGGAGTCTATATGCCAGACATGAGGTTAACCCCCGACTGCGGGGACTGCGGAGACTGCGGGGACTGCGGAGATCAAACCCCAGCTCTCAAAGCACAACTCAAAATCCCAACCCCTCTTGCCCCTCCTACAACCCCCCGCTGCGTCCGCGTCCGTCTAACGTCCAACCGCAACTCCCCAACCACAACCTTCCCAACCACCCATAAACCCCCACCAACCCCCCACCAGTTCACACAGACACACAGACACCAAATCACTTCCCCTTTTCGCTCCCGCTCACCGCCACCTCCCGCTCCAGCGCCGCCCTCGCCGCCGCCACCTCCCCCGCTCTCGCCGCCAGCCGGGCGTGCTGCTGCGTGAGCGCCTCCCTCTTCGCCATCAGCGGCCCGTTCACTGCCGCCTGCAGAGCCGCCAGCTTGGTACGGTGGGCATCATGCAGGGGAACCAAGCCGTGACCCTGTGTGTGTATGTGTATGTATGTATGTATGTATGTATGTATGTGTGTAGCGTGTGGAGGCGGGGCAAGGGGGGAGGGGGGAAACTCATATGTGGGCACAAAACGGTTAGGCGCAGTATTGGATAGGAGGGAAGAAAAGGGCCCTAGGAGGGGACGTTACCGTGTACGGTGTACGATGTACGGCGGGAGAAAGACACCGAAGGAGGGCGACGTGGGTGTTGTAGGGTGGGAGGTAGGACAGTAGGTGCCCCGTGTTATACGGGGTGGGGTGGGGCTGGGTGGAATCACATGCACATACAAGCAAGGAATGAACTGCCGGCATCCAAAGTTGGGAGGGAATGGGAATCACGAACACGACGTAAAACCCAAGAACAAACCCTACCGACGGCCAAAAAACACCGACCTGGGGGAGGGGGGGGGAAAGAGAGGTGTTTAAGGGTGAGGACGGGGGGACGGGTTTTCTCCAATACCGGGGGAAACCCTCTTCTCGCTCCCCTCCCTTCTCTCTTGTAGGTTCTCCTCCTCTTTCCCGCTTCTCGATGACACGATCGCGTCAATCACCTGCTTCGCCAGCTCCTTGACCATTACTGCATCCGCCAGTACGACCTCCTGCATAGTTTCGTCGTACAACATACTGAGACCTGCCACCTGCTGCTGTGCGATGTACGGCATCTGCCGCGGTACCTCCGGCAGCGCTAGCGGCAGGGCAGGCGGCTGCGGCGGAAGCGTGTGGAACTGGATCGGTGGCGGCGGCGGCGGCGGCGCCGCCGCCGCCGCTGCCGTACCATTCATTGCCAGCATTTGCATTGGCTCCAGCAGCGACGTTGGCCCGTGTTGATGTTGCGGCGGTGGCGGACCCCCCTGGTGGGCCGGACGGAGGCCGTTGCCGTACTGACCCGCCGCCGCCAGGGCCGCAGGGCAGCTTGGGTGGTGACCGCCGTACGGCGACATCAGCAGCAGCGTTGGTGGCGGGTCATGGGCGGCGCGAGGGGAGGTGTACGCCTTGGTGGGGGTGCTGCCGGGTGACGGCGAGCCCGCCGCCGCCGCCGCCGCTTGCGGCGGTGGATAAGGACCGCTGCCGGGCGGCGGCACCAGCGCCACGGAAAGCTGCTGGTTCGGCGGCGGTTGATACGGATATTGGTACGAATGCATCGTACCATTCCCTGCATGTATACAAGGTCCATCTGATCTTATCTGTCCTTTCAACCTGCGATTCATTTTATTTATCCAGTAACACAAAAAGCCGTATAGATTTGGCAGTACAGGTTCCTTTTATTTAGTATTACGTGAGTTCTGCTCACCCGTCGTGCAAACCAGGCCCTGATGAGGGTGCATGCTCAGCTGCGTGTAGCTGGTCGACGGCGGCGGCGGCGGCGGCGGCGGCGCACCGCTGACGCCGCCGTTGGGGCCAGGAGCAGCTGCAGCCGCGGCGGCAGCGGCTGCGGCGGTAGCAGCAGCAGCAGCAGCTGCTGCGTCGTACGCGGATGATGAGGATGTGCCTGCCAGCGGAAGCACGTGAGCCGTGAGTGGTGAGGGTGATGCTCTTCTATAGGGTCCTGTATATGTAGTGTGCAGCTTAAATGTGTGTGCTATGTTTGTAGGTGGCACATAGGTTTGTAGATGAACAAGGCGAGACCTCGGTAGCTCAGACTTGCGGCCGGCAAATGTAGCAGAGGCCGATGCCTTATTCGGCAAGTTAAGTTGTAAGCGGGTGGGTTCAGCGGGCACGCAGGAGCAGGCCTGTCGTGAATGGTGTGCGGAGTCCTGAGACCTTGGCAATGGCACGGCGCACACCTTGTAGAAACTGCTGTCCATGTTGCCGTGATCGGCGATCCCTGCTATGGTATCGGCCAGAGGAGTGTGACCGGTTTCGGTAATCGCGCCCGCCTCTACTGCGCCTGCCTGAGCCGCGGTGACCGCGGTCAGGGCTGCTGCTGATTTCATCGCTGGTGCTGCAAGCCGTCTGCTCCGAGTCACTGCTAGCGCTGTCCGAGAAGCTGTCCCTGTATTCGTACTCTTCCCTTTCATCGTTGAAAGCCACTTTGCTTTGAGAGCGGTTATTAGCGGCTGTCATTGCGCATGTGGACGGCCGGCCTTCCTCAGCTGACCTCGGCACCCTAGCTGCGCTTTTTCTTGTGTTGGACATATTCCTAGGGCTTAAGGAGATGTTCGCAAGACACAGACGTGACAATACGAGAGTGTCAAAGTATCACAAGGTTCCTACGACGGAACGTCCTTCTCAATGGTATTATCGCAATAATTTTAACCAAAAATGTATGAGTGCAGACTACGAGGACAAGAGTCGTCCTGGTGCTAGCGGGTCGCTGCGTCATATTGGACAGCCCTGGATTCTGACCAATTATGCTGGCAGAAAAACATCCTTAAGTTTCCACATTATTTGTTAATATAATGATTACTCCTGCAGATGACCCATTTTATGTTTCATCGATTACAGTAACATCCCGGCTTTTGCAAAGCTGCCGCCGTCTGCCGCTCGGCGTGCACATGTAACACAACGAGTCACAACATTACTGGGCTATGAGGCATCACAGTTTTACGAAAGCAACAATCGCTCAAACCGGACTGGAATCCAATCCGTCCTCCACGCGTACCATGTAGACTGTTGCCATGCTGTGTCGTATTGGGTTGCTTGCTTGGCGCTCTGGCCGCGTCATACCGGGCTTCGTTGCAAATTGTGGTAACTTGCAACGCAACTGCGGCGGTACCAGTGACGCAGATATGTGCAAATTTAAATGTACAACGCAGAAAATAGGCAGTTTCGCCACCCAAGACACAATCCGGACCCTCCCGAGCAGGGCAGTGCCTGGCCGATTTCCAAAGGTTAACCATGCCAGCCCGTAGCCTTAGGTAAGCAGTTTCCATGGGCATTTGCATTTGCATTGGCCTACAGTATAACACGCAGACACACGAAAGCACACACGCCCAGCATTAATTACCAAGTTACAAGTTCCGCGCAAATGCGGGGGCCGCCCGTAAAAGCCGGCGTGGACCCCATGGACGGCCAATAGCCATTACTGTGGCGCCGAGTGGGGATCTTGACATCCTCACCCGCTCGCCTGGGCTCGGCACGCCTGAGCGCTGCTGTGCCTGGTTTCCCAGACCTCTGATGGAAAACTAGCCACAGCTAAAGGGGGGAACTTGTAATTAAGTACCTGAAGTTTCGCTCCATCGGTTTATCGACATAGAGGCCAACTTTGACTCTTTCCAAACGTCACTTGCAGGGAGCCTCTACTGATGCTTGCCTGTCGCGGCCATAAGGTCATCCTCCACTGCAAAAGGCAGCTCATGATGGCCTCCTTCGCGTCTACCAACCATCGTTTGGCATATCCATACACTTGCCATGTCCATGTTCCTCGTCTTGGCACTAGATCCATTCCGAGCCGTATAAATAAGGACACCTACAGAGAAGCGGGTCGTGCTATTGTGTACCGTGATCGCTGTCGTACGGTACCCATGGAGCGCACTGCACGAGAGACGAGTAACTAGGCGTCGCTTGAAAAAGCGCCATGGTGCTTCGTGCTCTCCTATTCGTTGTAAGATAGGACTGTTACATGCCATCAATGCATAGAGTGAATGCCATTATTTCCGAACCGACTGGCGCTGTAAACATTACTAATATGCTTTAGGAATAAGATGATGCTTATTGATATATGATTGCTTATATGATCGCTTATTTTGCAAATGAAGGTGACGACGTCTACCGAAAGCACTTCTGCTCCTGCAAAGACTAAACCCCGGAGAAGTTTTGTAGACCGCTATACCAACGGAAGATAAAGTTAGATATGGAATGGAAAGGAGCATTTTGCACTCTTTGGCCGCTGATACAAAACCGGAGACTACAGCAATTACTGCTGCCACCCATGGGCCAAACAACCCTGAGGAGCAAAAGACTACTGATACGGGACATGCTTCTAGAGGACCAGGAGGTGACATCGGTTTGACCATAATGTTACCTCCACCGAATGTTGCTGTCTCGATGGAGAGGTCAAACTCGATGGAGAGGTCAAACTCGAAGCGCTCCCTTGGAGACCTGTCTGCCCCACCGGCGCTAAATGCGAAGCGCTTGAGACGGCGAAGGGGTAACCACTCTTCCTTGCATCAGGGCAACGGCAGCATGAGCAGCGACGCAGCACCGCGAGAGGCACGAACTAACGGGAATCTCGCATGGCCGCCAGATGGGCAGCAGGTCACCGATAAGCCTCGGGACGTCGTACTTCGCATCGAGTTCGCCACTTCAGGAGAGGTGAAGGCTCTTGCCATCCTAATGGCTTGCACGCTGCTTGCGGGCATCGCCGTTACCGCGTACTTCAAGGTGCGCTTAGAAGCTGTCTGCTGCTGCTGATCAGCAAGGCCGTGCGTTATGTCGTACGCGTCCCAAACAATGCACTTTTCCTTAAAGCACGTACGGCATTCTGTTCAGCGTAACTAACAGCGTCCTAAAGTTTCATTTCCTAAGTGTCGTCCTTAGGGCTCAAAGAGAGGAAAACCACCTTACCGAAACGAACACCACCTCACCTACAGAGATGGGAATAGCTCTTGGCTCAAGGCTCCCTTTGTGGTTCCTTTGTATAAACGGGGATCACGAAGCCAATCCAAGGCAAGCAAAGCCATTTCTGCCCGCCTGCCACGAGCCTGGAGGTAGGATTTCCCCAAAGTCACGCCGCAAACACTCCTTTCCCCTCCCCTCCCCTCCCCTCCCCTCCCCTCACTCAGGCGAGCGCACAGAAAGCGGGCACATCCTGGTACCTCCTCCACTCCGACGCGCCCAACTTCCGTGACAACTTCATCTCCGGCGTCATCTGCACCGCCATCCCCTCTGTGCTGTGGCTGCTGTACCTGGTGCGCGGAGTGTGGTTCCGGGTGCAGCGGCTGCACTGGGATATGCGCCGCTTCCGTATCTACCTGTCGCGGTTCGCGGAGCTGACCGTGACCATCGTCAGCATGGCTGCGTGGACTTTCGCGGGAAGTGAACGGAGGTTGCAAACCGACTGCCGCAGGTAGGTGGTGATGGAGCTGCTTCGTCTTGACGGCCGGGCTGCCTGACGGGTTGGTGTGCCTGGCAATGTGTGAGGGGGCACATGGGGGTGCTGCATGCAAGTTCGTATGGCGGCTGCCTGGGACTGCGGCTTGGGACTGCGGCCTTACAATGCATGCTGCGCAAAAACAAAGGCTGACCAACCATGCACTTGACTATTCTTGTGAATTGCTTGTGGAGGGGCCGGCAGGAGTTGAAGTGCGACTGAAATAGGTTGCTACCGTGACGTCGCATCCTCCGAATGTTGTTACACAAGCGGGGCAAAACGCGTGAACGACATTCAAAACACAAAGCGCACGCTACCCGCCACCCACCCCTCCCCGGAGACAGCTTCCGCACGACGTTGTTGTGGACCTACGCCGTACGCCTAACCGCCACCAACACGCTGCTCTGCATCTGGACGATGGCGGCGAGGGGCATGACGGTTCACAAGGCCGGGCCGCTGTCCCGCCAGAGATGCGTCCAGCTCACGTCATCGGCACGTGCGCAGGTACGGCAATGGCTGGCGCAGTGGGGGGGGAGCTGCTTATTCTGGCGGGGCGGGATCTGCGGTTGCCCGCCGTCATCATCATCATCATCGTTGTTCCCACCATCGCCCGCATCGCCATCGACGGGCATTCCTAAGCAGGGCAAGGATAACGGCTCCTCGTCCGGTCGCGGCTCAGCAGTTGCGGCGGCGGCGGCGGCGGTGGAGACCCCTCTTGCGGCGGCAGCTGCGGCGACTGCGACTGCGGCCGTCACCGTCATCGCCGCGTCCCAAGCCGTTAGGCCATCCATTGATGTCGACACCAGCTCCAACAGGGCGGCTGGCTCTAGTGCGGCTGATAAAGGCCAACTTATTGTTGGTTGTTGTGATGCTAGTGGAAATGTCGTACCCTGCGGGGTGGTGACGGCGGTGGGTGGTCGTACGGATGGGGATAAGTTACGGCTGGGTGCATCTGGGCCAGCCGTTGGTGCTGCAGCGACGTCAGTAGGATCAGCACCAGAAGAAGGAAAGTTAGAGCAGCGCCAGGAGATTGTTGTCGCGGGTGATGCTGGTGCTGGTGCTGGTGCCGGTGCTCCTTGTCTTCCAAGTCCTCGGCAGCAGCAGCAGGAGCAGCAACACCACAAGCGGCCGTCAGCGGTGGCGGCGGCAGCGATGGGTTTCTTTCCGGATGCCGAGACGACTGATGGAGAAATGGTGCCGATGCCAAGGGCGGATGAACTGATGAAGACAGTGGAGCTTGCTGCTGCGGCTGCCGGGAACAGCAGTACTTGCCAACCTTGTTCATTGGATGCGAAGGTCCAATCCACGCTGCCGTTTCCGGCTGCAGCTCAGCATTCCGGGCCGAGGGAGCCGGAGGAGGTAGCGCCGCTTCAGCTTACGGCCTGCAGCACTGGGCCGCCGCCAGCGGTGCGTCCTATCACCCCCATCACCCCCTCCAACCCTATCGCCCCCATCAACACCATCACAACCACCTCCGAGTCCAATGGACTGCGCGATGTGCAGTTGCTGGTTTCACCACCACCACCACCACCACCACAACTACTACTACTACCACCAGCACCACCACCACCACCACAACTACTACTACCACCACCAGCACCACCAGCACCACCACAACTACTACTACCACCACCAGCACCACCAGCGGGTGCGGGAGGGACCTCATCTGCGGGCCGTGACGACTCTGACGTACTGTACCTGGACGCGCCCTGGTGGGGCTACCTGGCGCCGTGCGTGTGGCTGTGGGTGCCTTTCCAGTGCCTGGTGGCCGTCAACGTGGGGCACCTGGGGGGTCGGGGCGTCCTCCGGGAGCCCGAGGGGCGCCCCGCGTGCGTGGAGCAGTACCTGGCGTGCAGGTACGTGCGGTCCTGAGGGAGCTCCGGGAGGGGGGGGGACTGGGCTGGAGGGGGGGCTGACGGGCCGGGCAGTGTCCCTGGTGGCAAGAGGTGGTCCCTTGGCGGTGGTGACGGTGACTGTGTAGGTGCTGGTGTAGTCCGGGTGCAGTGGGGCAGTGTAGATGCTCGCAAGCTGTGAGGGGAAGAGAGGGGGGGATATGCCACCACCTGCATTTACAGCGGCCGGAATCCTGCGTGTATATACACGGTGCTGCTCCATTAACGAATGGTCCTTGGCGGTTGGCGGTTGCAGGCCCATCGACAGCGCCGCATTGATCTCGCTCGGTGTGATGTTGGCGGCGGAGGTCGTGTACATCCTGGTGTACCTGACCTTTTGCTTGAGGGCGTTCGCGTACCTGCGGTCGAGGTGAGTGTGTGAGTAGGTAGGTAGGCAGGCAGGTAGGTAGGTAGGTAGGTAGGTAGGTTAGCTAGGGACTTGTCGGAAAATGCATGTGGTGTGTACGTTATCCAGGTGCCCTCTTAGGGGAGGAACTGAATGGACAGGCTACCCTAATAACCCTAATAAAACTTATATAAGTTACAAGTTCTCCGCACATGCACACATGGGGGGGTGTCCGTAAAGCCTGAGGGGGGCCGTGGCCTAATATATCCCATGGCCTCATTCTAACCCGCTGGAACGCGGATTACTTTGAGGATTACCCCCACTTTGCCTGATGGGTTGAAGTTATCTACTTGTACAAATCCGAGGTCGTGCATCTCGATACCTGCACGGACTGCTTCACTTCGCACTCCCTTGACTTGGACGACCGTCCTTTACTTGTTAGTTGGCTACCCCCACATCGTACTATTGCCTCGTCCCAACGAACAAACGGCGGTACAGGTCGTACGTCCCGTACCGGCAGCTAAACATCTACCTGTCGATAGAGGTCCGCATCCGCGGGCTGGCTCTGGTCTTCCTGGTGTGCAACGACCTCGTACAGGTGAGGCCGGGTAACGGTGTGATGGCTGAAGACGTGCAGCGCTTGGGGGGAGAAAACTGGAGGGCATGAATGGTAAGGTAATGAACACACACATACGCACACACACACACACTCTTCGCACCAGGAGCCTTTACCGTTCTCGTCATGGCAGTAGTACGACATTTCTTCCGTACCCTCTGCCCCCCACCTCCATCCCGCCGGTATCCGGCTCGTAGGCGCTCACTGTGCCCCGGGTGGCCGGTGGTCGGGACGGACACGCGGCCACCCACTGCCGGTTCAGTCTGGATGCGGTGCTGGGGTTGTGGAGCACGCAGGTACGGGGTGGGGGTTAGCACTTTGTGAGCACACGCTTGACGCACGGGCTGTGGCCCGCAGGAAGCGGCCGTTGCCAAGGGAGCAGCAGCGCGCCCGGCAGGACGCAAGGCGCATGCAGCTAGCAAGCAGAAGGGGACTACAGAACGAGGAATCTATGTGCTGTGATGGGATGTGGCTGTAAGGGGCTTTGTGGGCCGTGTTGTGTTGAAAATGGGAGGGGGGTAGCACCAGCAGCAGCAGCAGGCGACTAGGAGTACTACCAGATTGCGGGAGATGGGGAGAAAGGGATCGGAATTGGATCCCGCCGTACAGCGAGTGAGTGAGTGATCCGCTGGTTACAGCATATCGCGAAAGCCTTAGGCCGATGCTTGCAGGGTTTTAGGGTTTGATCAGACCGGGAGGTGCCGTGGAGGTCGTTGGTCGTTGGCGTCTAACCGACCAATCTATAGGCCTCCTGCTGTACATGCTGTACACCATCCGTACTTATCGCGCATCTCGCTATTGCACAGATGCTGCTGTCGGCACCGCTTTACTCGAATACCTTGCCTGCACGTATGTCTGTATGTGCATGATGTATATATGTGCGTGGTGCCGTGCACATGTGCACAGGCGGTCACGATGGTGGTCGTGTGCGTGGTGGCGTGGATTTTCATACCGCGCAATGTGCATGGGGATCTGCCAATCATGCAGGAGACGCTTCAGGTAGGTCATTGGACAGGCGGACATTGAAAGACAGACAGACAGACAAAGGCAGGTAGACAGGTAGGTAGACAGACAGGCAGACAGGTAGGTAGGCATGTAAGCAGGGAGCGCCAGCCGCATAAGAACGCAGCACACGTGATGGGTGGATGAACGGATGAATGGCGTTACAATGAATGACGTTTCATTTGATTTGACCGAAACACCGCTATTAGCAGCGCACGGAAACAATGTGTAGGGTTGTATGCATGTATGTATGTATGTGCGTTTACGCTTCCTGATGTCAACATTAATCCTCCGGTACCTTACAGCGCTTCGCCTGGACGGAGCCCGACCTGCCGCGCCAGAGGGCCCTCCGCCTGGGTACGATAGTCGTACGACGTACAGGCAACAGTCACACCCACCGAATTGCGCAGCTGGAGGGAGAGCCCATGTTCTGCTTCGAGACCGCGGTGAAACTCACCTACTGGTGCGAGCACGCCTACTACTACGATGAGCCCGGGTGCGAGATGCGCTTGCCGCTGTCCAAACTGATGGAGCTATTCGGCCTCGAACACATCTTGGTGCGTACGTACATACACACATACGTACCGACATACATACATACGAACCTGTATGTCTTATTTAAAGTAATGTACCTGCCTGTTGCAGCGAACAGTGGTGGCTGCACCGCAGGAGGTGGTGAGCGAGGGGGGTGTCCCCGGCGTTGTGCGTGAGCATGTGCACCATGCGGATTTTACTAGTCACTTGATCCTCACACGGCAGATCCCCCCTTTTGCCTGGTTGGTTTGGTTTGTTGCTCTTCCTGCCGCTACATGTACCCGGCACAGGTGAAGCGCAACGCAGACAGCGATGCCAAGGTCATGATTGGCTGGAACTGGAAACAGGTGCGCAACCGAGGTTACCGTCTGCTATCGTGTGCTGGGTGTTGGGACATAATAATGGGTGATTGCGCGTATATAACTTTTGGTTTGGGGTTTTAGGGTTTTCGGGGAAGAAAGGGCTTAGGGTAAACTTAGCTGCTAACCCCGGACTCAGCTGCTTAATACGGGCTGTGTGTTACGTAGCTGCGGATGGGCTGTCCGTACTGAAGAACAGGACGAGATGAGGGTCCGCGACGCAGGAATGCGTGTCGGGCGGGCGGGCGGGCAGGCGGGCCGGGGTCCACACCTCCTCCCCTCAGTACTTAGTGAGCGCTCAACTGAACGCCTGTCGAACCTGCCATCCGTGCACCTGCCTGGGAATGAAAGTACGGAGAAGCACTACGGAGAGCCTCCTGCTCTGCTCTGTAGGTCCCCCTCTTGCAGCTTGTTCCCCTCTTGCACCGATACCTTGCCACAACGGCGCGTATCTTTGTCCCCTGAATGCGGGTAGGTAACTTGTCATGTGACGCTACGTGCAATACGCAGTGCGTGCTCTGCTTCCGCGGGACGGCCTCTCTCAAGGCCGCGTGTGTGGACCTGAAGGCCGTGCTCGTGAGTAGGGCCACTGACGGGAACGGGGACAGCAGGGGAGGGGAAGGATGGGGCAAGGCGACGGCAGTGTGGGTGTGTGCAAGTATGTGTGTATGTATGTGCAATATTGTGTGCCAGTCTACGCGGCATGGCATTGTACGGGACATTGCGCGAAAATGGGATCGTGAAGTGGCAGTTTTGCTTGTTGACGCACACGCTCTCTCGTGTATATAGAGGAATTTCACTTATTAATGTGTGCCTCTGTCTGTGTCTGTCTGTGTCTGTCTGTGTCTGTCTGTCTGTCTGTCTGTCTAAACATGTGGCCCTATCTATCCAGGGGGTTTGTGTGTCGCAGTTGAAGATCCGCTTTAGATGAACTAACGATCATGTACTCACGGAAAGTCAATCAATGAGCCGTACGACTCGTCCACTTGAACCATATGTCGTTACGTTGCATGGTGGTTGTGGTGGTTGTGGTGGTTGGAGCCCTTCATAGACAAAAGAGGCCTCGTGGCTCTAGACCTCGTACGGCCACAGGGACGAGCCGAAGGTCCTTAGGCGACTGCAGACCAGTAAGTACTCTGACTAGACCGGGCAGTAGACAGCACAGATCACCACCGCCCTCCCAATACACCGTGCGACTATAGGGTCATCGGACATACATCCAGATGTACACCACCGTTGCCTGTGCTTGGTGCGCTGTATACTGGAACACATCCGTACATTGTACGAACAGGTGCCGTACTACCAGCGTTCCTACTGGCAGCACAGGCACAAGGTTGCCGCGCTGGCGGCAGTCCACCACGGCTTTCAGTGGAGCTGGACCCACGGGAGCTTCCACTGGGAGGTGGTGGACTGGGTGCGGGGCTACCGGGAGCGGCACCCGCACGGCAAGATCATCGTAACAGGCAGGTGGTCCCTCGCGCGGTGTGTGCCCTTCTCTCTCTCTTTCTCCCTCTCCCCGAGATCCGTAAAATGACCCACGGGTCACACAGCGACGGGTCACACAATGAGACCACTAATCAACCCAATAACCAATTAATCCACTAATTAACCACCGCGCACCAACCGCCGGCCTAACGGTATAAAACCCAACTAGGGCACTCTCTGGGCGGTGCACACGCGGTTTTGTGCGCCCTGGACCTGGCTCGTGAGCTTGGGGAGGTCGGAAAGGCGGGTCTGCCGTACAGCCACCTGGTGTGCTACACTTACGGGGCCCCGCGGGTGGGCGACCACGCCTTTGCGAGGCTGTACAACAAGGTGCGTTTGCGGTGAAGATGTTGATGCGGTGTGATGCCTCGCGACGTAGGTGGTGTGTGTATATATGTGCGTGTGTGTGTTCTTGAAGTCTTGATGTGTGTGATGTGGTCAATAAATCACAGCTTGGTAATTGTACGTTGTCGGAGGATGGCGATGCCACGTGTGTCTGTGTGCGTGTGTGTGCACCATGTATGCATGGCTTTTGCTGTGAATGGATGGAGGGTGAAGGAAGGATTCTGGGGTATGTTAGGCCCACCGCAGGCGTGGGTGCGGCAACCGCCAGCACCCTCGGCACGGACGACGTCGAGCTGATGGATGCCTGAAGTGCGGCGGGGGCCAAATTCATTTCTCCGCCACCCTCAACCGTCGCCATCACCCATCCCATTTCTTCCTGATGTGCGCCTCGGCAGGTAGTGACTGAGACATGGCACGTCATCAACGGCAACGATATGGTGCCCCTCACACCCAAGTAAGCAGTACGGTAGTACGGTAGTACGGCATCGCGAATGCTAATTCAGGACTTGCTCGCGCTGCCGTGAAGAGGAAGAAGAGGAAGAAGAGAAGGCAGGGCTCGCATGCTTGCTGGCTAACGTTCCCCGCACTTTAAAGTAACCTTAAAAGACGGAACAGGAGGAGGAGTAAAAGCCAACGAAAAGAAAGAAGGAGAAGAAGAAGAAGCACCAAGCTGTTTCTAATTCCGTGACGTTGACTGGTGCAAACAAGGACACCCAGTGCCCGCGCAAGCTTTTGCACGAACCACCCGGCCAGTCTTCCTGCCTCTTCTCGTCTGGCTCCCGGACTTCCCGGACCTTCTTACCGTGGGCCCCCCCCCGCGGGCGTGGCTAGGTACGTTGGCTGGTTCGTGTACAAGCAGCCCGGACACAAGGTCATTGTAAAGCGCCGCGGGGACATCGTGGTGCGACCTACCTTCATTGAAAACGCGGTGCTCAGGTAATGAGGATGAGGAGGAGGAGGGGGGGCTTCACATGCACCTGTCTTCTGTAGCTCGCAGTAGTGGCCCTACCTCCACAGCTGTCTCGATGGCTCAATCTCAGCGTCCATTGAAACAACCGTGCATGGGTAGCCGTCCAACTCCTCCAACTTCCCCTCCCACCCTTGCTCCGGTTTCCCGAGCCCCATACATACACCGCCTTCGCACCACCACAGCGCATCTGACATTGCGGCGGGTTCAGGTATGTCGGCAGACGGACACACATACACATACACAGCTAACCTGCGAGCTGACCAGGGACGGAGTTGGGTCGCCGTTGATCCGGCAGATTCCGTAGGATGCAGGTGGTGGGTGCTGAGCCTGAGCGATCCACTGAGAAGTCGCTAGGGTGACTGGATGAGGGTGCCCCGAAATACCGGGGAAGGCAGGGTTTCGCCGGGTAGCTGCCACGGGTGAAGATATGCCCCCCTGTCCCACACGTCATTACATAGCAACCATCCATTCACTCACACACAACCGCGCTTGGCTAAAGCTACCTGGAATGCACGCCAGCTCGTTGGGTAGTTTCCCCCTCCGGCAGGTGCCCTGGATTTCATTTATCTGGACCTTACGGGCTTTTGTTGCTGCTGATATCGGTAGTAGTAGGTATCGATCCCACGACTACCAACAGACCTCATCAGGTGCCGCCTCTCTGCCGGTGCATGCAGGCTGCCCGGGTCCCGCAGCTTGCGGCAGCACCTTCTGGGCTCCTACCTTCGGTCCATGATGGCGGTGCTCCGGAGCCAGACACGCGGCAAGCACATTGAGGGCGGAGTGCGGGGCCTGCTGCACCTCAGCAGGTATGGGGGTGGGTGGGTGGGTGAGTGAGAAAGGTTTCTCGAACTAGTAAAGTAAATAAACCGAGCGATCCTTTCGATGCTCCATCCCAGCGGCAGGGGCGGCAGGGGTTTGGGCAGCGGCCAGGTCCTCTCGCGGTTCCTTTCCGGGGTGCCTTTCCCGGCAGCAGCGTCTGACGTGTTTTGAGGGCCATGTGCTACGAGCCTGAAGCTGTACTGGAGGTGTACTTGCTGCGGTGGTGAAGCTCTATCTCGAACTCTGCAGAGGAAATTAAGGGGTGTGCGAACAAGCACAAGCACAGCACAACACAGCACAGCAGCCACACGCCCGATGCGTATTCGGAGCCGTTGGCGATCCTGCGGCCCATTTCCCGCCCACCTCGACCACTACGTGTAGAACTCAGTTGGTCTCCCATCGCTGCGATAAGAGCTGATTACGATTTGCAATCGACAAAATCGCATGGTGCCGTACACTATTCAAGTACAACTTTGAAAGATGCCGTACAACTTGAAATGGTTGCCATGCATTCTTACAGTCCAACTTTATAAATGATGCCCCGCACAACGTCTACCATTGATCTTGTCGCAGTTACCAGCTTCCCGAAGTCGAATCCGTACTGACCGAGCTTCTGCACGAGGTGAAGGCCCTGGCGGCGACGGCGGCGACAGCGGCGACGGCGGCGGCGGTTCCCCTCCCCAACACACACACCAGCCCCGGTAGCAACGGCAGCAATCATCAAGCCATCGGACGAACCACCTCCGGCAGCAGCAGCAGCAACAGCGGCGAAACTCGCGGCGGCACCGACGGCGCAAGCAGTGCGACCCCGCACCACCACCACCACCGCCACCGCCACCAGCGGCGGCCGTCTACAGCACCGGCGGCGACGGCGCCCGAGGCTGGGGCAGTAGCAGCAGCAGCAGCAGGGCCGAAGGTTCAAGAGGCGCTTCACCTCCTGGCACGTCACAACTCCCTGCGGTTGCTCCTGGACCACGTGAGTAACGCCCACATGGCAGGGTACTCACTGGGGGAAGTCACGGGTTGTGTATAACTCCGGGCGGTGTGTGCAACTTGGTGGGGGGTCGTTGCGGGCAGCCCTCAAGGTGCTCAGGTGACTCTTGTGGTGCGACAGGCGGTCCCCCCTACTAAACTACTTTCCTCAACAGCTTATTACCCGGTCTTACCTCCCCGGCCTTATCAGATACCTTCCCCTACCCGTCCCACACAAAATGTACGGCAGCTACCCGGCACTGCCGCGGCCGCCACCACCGCCATTGTGCCCCCGGAGCCGGTCGATGCTCCGGTAGCGGCTGCGGGGACGCCGACGCCGACGCCGATGCCGGCAGCGGCAGCGCATCCGCCGCGTGTCTCCATCCATTCTCTCGTGGGGGACATCCACCCGCGGCACTTGCTACTGGGCGTAATGCGCCGCATCGATTTGGGTATGCAGCTTTTCGGCGTGGAGACAGGTCTCTCAGAGGGAGACGATGCGGAGGACAAGAACGATATCCGCCTTGGCGGCCGTACCAGCGGCGGTTGCGGCGGTCGCGTTAGCGGCGACGCCGGCGAGGGGACGTTGTCAGAGGCGGCGGACCTGGCGGCGTTCGAGAGGGCAGCGGCGAGCCACGACGCTGCGCGGGTGCGATACCGGCGGCTGAAGGCGCGACGGGCTCGAGAGCAACCAGGGGGAGGAGGGGTGCTGGCTGGAGGGGCTGGACGGGGCCGGAGACCGTTTGCGAGGTCAAGTGCGGCGGCAGCGGCGACCGCAGCGGCGGCACAGCCGGCGGCGGCGCCAGCAGGCCTAGCGGTGGCGGGCCTTCAGGATTGCCAGTCTGAGCTCGTTTCCACTGTGCCACACATCGAATCCGGGGGACAGACAAGCGGCCAGCGAGTTCAACCACCGCCATCACCACACGGACTGCCAGCACAGCTAAGCCACCTTAATTGCACCAGCCTTGGAGTTGTTGCCGGTCGTCGTTGTGGCCGCGGCGGCAGCGGCGGCGGCGGCGGCGCAGCTGGACAAGCAAGCGGCGGGTTCGCTTCCCACAGCGGCGGTGCTGACGCTGGCGCTGGCGCTGGCACCAGCTGCAGTACAAGTTTTGCCAGGCAGAAGGTCCGTGTCACGCGCCGCCGCAGCGGCCGAATCGATTTGGAGGACGTCCGGAGGGACTCTGTAGGCTTCGGAGGTATCGCGACCTGCACCGTCCTCACCGCCGCCACTGCTGGTGCCAGGACCGTACGAAGACCGGACCCGCCGGTACCGCTCATGTCTTTGCGTGCGCCGCCATCGGTGATGGTGGTCTGCGGGTCCGAAGAGGAAGCGCCTTCGCAGGCGGCGGCGGTGCAGGTGGAGGTGCAGGTGGAGGGGGGAAGCGAAACGTCGAGACGAGGTTTCGGAGCTGCGCCATCTCCGGCTGCAGCTGCATCCCTGTTGCGCCCTGAGGCATCACGAGCCGGGCTGATGGCAGCGATGGCAGCGGCATCAGGGCCTGTTGCAGAAAGCACCATAGACCAGGTGGCTGACGGCCCCAGCCCCCCGCACGGCGGTAGGGGTGAGGGAGCAAACGGGGTCCGTCACAGCTGGGGGGGGGAGGACAGCAGCGGCGGCGCAGCCGGCGGCGGCGGCGGCAGCTACGTCAGTGTATCACGTAATGACCGCAGTCCAGGAAATCTGACGGAGGCGCAACTCATGATGGAGGCGGCGCTGACGGCGGCGGCCACGGCGTCTGGCTCCGAAACCCTACCCAGCGCGTTGAGAGCGATTGCTGGATCCAGGAATTCGTGCAGGATGTGCGATCCTGTGGTTGTGGTGGTTTCGGAGGCAGCCCGGCGCGTGGTTCCGGAGCTTGATCTGGGTCTGCTAGGGAGGCGGCTGCCTTCGCCCACTCCACCGCTCCAACACACGTCATCGCCGGGGCAAGGAGCTGCTGCCGGGGGGAGTCCGGGGGATATCGAGAACGGTATCGGCGGCAGCGGCGGCGGCGGCGGCATAGATCCGTGATTGTGTTGCTCGTGTGCCTTACCACACGGACGCATGGAGGATGCACGATGCAACATACATACATACGTACATTCATGCACCTCTGGCGGATGGGACTGAGGTGAAGTGCGCCATCCAAGTCTTGCAGGGGCAGGCCGCTAACCGTGGGCGGCTGCGGGTCACCTCTTATGCGCTGCGTATTCTGCCGTTCGGGCTTTTAGGCCGTAATTTCCGCCGTTACTTTCCGATAGCGCATCACCACTCCGTCGTCTTGCGCCCAGTTCGTGTGCCAGCTAATTGTTCGTCTTTCTTTTCTTTTCAATCAACCCAATCAGTCTGTCAATGCGTCGGATGTGGAGAGAGCTGTTCGAATATTTTGGTTGGCTTGTTGGTTGGAACTACGCAGGAGAGGGAAGTGCCGTACGGCTGCAATGTCTCCGGCTGAATGTTTGAACTCGAAGAGCTCGGCTTGACAGCAGCTCAGCAATCGCGCGTCGGTAGGGGGTACGCTGCTGCGCGCACTGCCATTCATGAGCAGCTGATTACCACTAGCTAGCTTGGTGCCAGATGGCTGCCTACTCTCTAGATATATTTGTGATGGGCGTAGGGTCCAACACCGGTATGTCCATCGGTATGTCCATCGGTATGCTCGCCCATCTTTTCAGATGCCAAGCAAAACAATATGCAGTGTTGGCGGGCTTATTCGATGACCTCCGTAACCACCGAACTGTTTGCAGTACATTGGACTGTTTGCAGTACATTGGACTGTTTGCAGTACATTGGACTGTTTGCAGTACATTGGACTGTTTGCAGTACATTGGACTGTTTGCAGTACATTGGACTGCTTGCAGTGCAGGTGCAGGGGGTCATTTGCTAAAGGGGCCTTACTCTCGTGCGTCTCACTGTTGGAGGTGACAGGAGGCGCTCCGAGCAGTCTCGGGCTCCTTCGGCGGCCGGTTGCCTGATCGTTAGGGTTTCAGGGTTTTACGGCTCGGCTTGTCGTAGTGACAGTGATAGTTAGAGTTATAGTATTAACCACAGTGATAGTCATAGCGAGCTCTTCGTATCCCGCCCACGGAGTCTTTCGAGCGACCCAAGATTATAAATACAGCAGCGTGTTGATGTGAGCGGTACACAACATTTTGACTGCACGGTTACTTATCCTGGTACCTTGCTTGCTATCCATCCGCCTTAATCTTCTAGTTTAGTTAAGAAGTTAGGATTGTCGTTTGGGTCGGGATGTTTGCATGACTGCCATTTCTGGGCCCGTACGCCTCCGAATACGGGATTTCATTGTCGTACCGATTGCGAGATCAGTACAGCGTTGCTTGCATTCGGGGGAAAATGTCTCCATTCAAACTCAAATCCACTATTGAACTGACAGGTTAAGTGATTGCACAAGATGGACGACAGCGGGCTTTCGGTAGCCATGCCCACGTGCGCTCGTACTTGCCGTACAACCCACCGATGTTGATGTTGGGAAGGTGCCAGAGCGTCCCCATCGGTATCATATGTATATACTTATTAGACATATACATATGCTTGCTTCATACATATTTAATATACATTATGTGTATATATACATATATATACACATATATATATGTATGCTTTCCGAAATTCTGTGTGCATCATTACTTCACGCTTCCTGGAATACATTTAAATGAATGGCGCATCCAAGTTCCAGCGCACTTCCGAAATGCAACGCCCCTGAGGCGCTGAGGGCGCCTTCTCCCCCTCCCCCCGGTGTTTGAATGCACAGCTCTACACAGCTGCGCATTAAGAAAACATCGGAAGGTCTTAATTAGGCAGTCTGGGCCGCCAGCCCGCTTCGTCCAGCCCCCGCCGTCAGCCCCGCCTATTTATGCGTGCCCAACTGCGTACGACAACCCGCGGCTTACACTCCCCCCCACCCTCCACTCTTCGCCCCCCGTACACGGCACATTCATAAATAACGATCAACCGCACAGAAATAACGTATGGGTACGTTTCTCACTCACGCGACCTGTGATGCTAATGGGTTTCATCATAGCAGTTTCTTATAACGGTTCGTACAGTACTGACGTGTCGCACGAGAAACACCGTCTTAGAGTTGGTGGTCGTTAATTAAGATACCGTCATCATCATCCCCATTGCTTAAAGGCAATGAAGGAACCCCGTTCTTTCTTCCCACGAGAGTTACATGAAGGGGGGAGGGGGGGGCCGGGCGTGTCGCTTGTGGGGCCTTTCCCCGGATGCGCGTTTGCTTCACAACCCCATTCAAGACCATTTACCCTTTACCGCCCCTGTTGCCGCCTCCCAGCTCCCACCGCCCGGGTGAAGGCCATCTACCAGGTCTCAATACTGACAGCAGCACTACTACTCGCACTGTGCCCCGGTCTGCCATACCCTGACGAGACGGACGTGTTAAGGCGGGCGGACCAGCACTACCTCTCCCTGCGAGACATGAAGATAGACAAACAGACAGCCAATCGAACTGCACACGCCGATTCTTTATGGAAGGAAAAAAGATTGCCACAGAGGGGGAAAAGAGAGGGAAGAAAGAGAGAGAAGAGGGGGCGGGGAAAAGCAGGTCTCAACCGCCAAGAAAGCAAGGATCCTCGATGGACATATCGTCTTTCAGTTCCAAGCGAAGACGGTCATCACGCCGTGGCGGCGCGCATGTTTTGTCCGCACCCCCGGGGGGGGGAGGTCCGACGGCTATGGCAACACGTCACAAGGTCAAACAGCCAAGACCCAAAAAAACTTTTCCCAAAAAACTATAAAAACTAACGTCACCTTTCCCACGTAACAACGGTCATGGTCAAGGTCATCTACGACAACGGCCACGTCGTTCCGTTCAAACAACGGCAACACACACAGGGCCATCAAAAAGCGCGCTTGCATCGAAAGCCATGCATTTACACATCACGACTATCCAAACCATCGTGTACTACGGAGGCGGAACGCTCGGCGGCCTCGGGGGGTTGGAGAGACTGCTCTATTCGCGCGGGGGGCTGGGCAGCCCGTGCGGCACGTTGAGTTGCAAACCTACCGACCATCGAGGCTGATGACGGAGCCGTAACACGTAAAGAAATAACCCAGCCCGAAGCCACGCACGCACGCACGCGCGCACAAATACACAACAAAACAACGACACTTTCCCCACCCCACCCCACCCCGGGGTAAGCACACCTCCACGGCGTTCCCGGTCACCCCCCGCGAGTAATAAACTGTACGGCACCTATACGGCATTGGGTCCTTCCGTACAGGACTCCATCATCATCATAATTATCATCATCATCATCCCGAATGATACACACACGCAGAAGATTCGCGTAACAAATGTTTTACGACGGCAAGTACCTGTGTCTAATCTGGGATCTGGATCTCATTTCTGAAACACAAGACGCACACAAGTCTGCTGGGCGTCCCCACCGACCACCTCCGCACGACGGAGGTCTCCCCTTCCCCTTGTGGCGACGACGCTCTACGCGGGGGGGGGGGGGTTGGGGCCGTGTGTCCCCTCTCGCCGAGACCGGATTCGGAAACATCCCCCTCGTTGTAAACCTGGGGGGCCATTTGCCGGTATACGTCATGACCCGTCCGTACAAACTTATTGCTTAGTGGCAGTCCCGGCTCCCCCCTTCTTGTGTGCCGCTCGCTCTCGCACTCTCACACACACACACACACACACACACACACACACACACACTTACAACACCCGTGCATACACCGGGCGATGTACCTGACGTGTGTGTTTCATCCCGGCACGCGTACACGTGCAAAACCTTTCCATGTAAAGCTCCCTCAAAACCTCCTCCAGGCTAAAAAGGAAGAAAGAAAGCGGGAGGCGATCTGGGTCCTCCGCTCTACCGGGAGAGCTCCCCCTCCACTCCCCACTGCTGAAAACACCACGATGGCGATCACGACGACGACTACGTCGATCACGATCACCATCACCTATTGTAACATAAGCGACCACTTACCTCCCACTACGAATGTACGACACGATCCACCTACCTCCCATTGCGGAGTGTACGACACGATCCACCTACCTTCCATTACGGAGTGTACGACACGATCCACCTACTTCCAGCTACAGAGTGTACGATACGACCACCTACCTCCGACTACGGAATGTACGACACGACCCACCTACCTCCCACTACGAGTGTACGACACGATCCACCTACTTTACATAACGGAATGTACGACACGATCCACCTACCTCCCACTATGGAATATACGACACGATCCACCTACCTCCGACAACGACGATCCACGTACCTCCCACATTTCTTTACAGGACGGTGGTTTGGCTTTCGGCACCCGACCTGCTTGACTTGACCGCATTGGACGACTTCGCTGGCACAGACAGAAGCCCCCCACCATCAACAACCCCCCCACACACAGACGCCGGATGACGAAGGGTGATCTAAAAACACATTTCACGCCCCTTCAAGCTCCCGAAAGGGACCTAGAGAGGGGAGAGAAGCGCGACCCACCCGCACCCACGACGGGCCGTATTGACTCCCCCCCCCCTCACACACGCTATACACTATGCAGGTTCTACTCAGTATGCCGCACCTGGCAAATAGTGTTGATCACTTTCTTCGCACCACGCGAACACGGCCCACCTGGTGCATATCACCATATCTCCTATCACCAACACCCCCCTGTTGTACAGCACCCCCATCCCAACACCGTCACCCTACACCCTACAGCTACGGGAACTTCAGTTCACCTCGTCACCCTCACCATGGACCTTTCCTAAATAGGCTCCTCCTGAATTCCCCGCCGGACCGATACCCCAGCGTCCCACAACGGTGGGACACAACTCCCCGACCTCAGGCCAACCTGGAATACCAACCACTCAACTTCCCGCCAAGCATTCATCTAGCCACGCCAGCGGCAGCAGCAGCAGCAGCAGCAGCAGCAGAGCTGGGTTCTGCTCCACACCGCCATATCCCCACCCCACCCCCCGGGTCCCACACCCCCTCCCAGTCAGTTCTCTATTCATCATCATCTGGTCCTAACTCACACTGCCGCATCCACTGCCGCCCCCGCTGCCGGCGCCGCCGTCTCCCCGGCCGTCTCACCTCCCGCCACCACCTCCTTAGAATCCTCCGGCGCCAACACCACCAGCACACGGGCCCCGGACTCCTCCGCCTCCGCCTCCGCCGCGCCCTTCGCCCCCGCTGCCGCCCTCGCCACGGCCATCTCGTGCTCGTCCACGAGTACGGTTTTCCGTACTGCCTCGTTTAGAATGTCCATAAGCTCCGCCTGACTTTCGCAGGTCGTGACTGTGGATGCGAGTGCCGAGTTCAGGCTGCTGTTCTGGTTCAGCAGCCGCTGGAGCTCCTCCTGGAGCATACCCTGCTGGGCGGTGAGGTGCTGGACCTGGGACGCTAGGCGGCGGATCTCCACCACCAACAGCTCCCGCTCCGCCAGCAGCTTGTAATGGCTGACAAGCAGATCATCGTTGAGCGGAGGAGGGCCAGCGGCGGCGGCGGCGGCTGTGCCGCCACAGCCTCCGGTGGCGGCGGCGGCGGCCGCTACCGCAGCTGCGGCGGCAGCTTGACCTCCAGCAGCGGCGGCAGTAGCAATGGCGGCGTCAGCAAACGCAGAAGGACTGCGGCTGCTACACCTCGGCTCTACTGCCGCCGCCGCCGCCGCCGGCGGTGACGACAGCAGCGAGGCCCTAGCCGTGCGGGGCGCTACAGCCATAGACGACGACGGGCTGCGGGCACTCCCTGCCGCCGCCGCCGCCGCCGCCGTCGCCACGGCGGTAGCGGCGAGTGAAGCCGCTGGGGGTGAAGCGACCGACAGGACGGAGCTTCGATCGTACCCGCCACCAGTGCCGCCGCTGCCGTCGCCGCCGCCACTAGCCCGAGGCATCGTCATATTTCGTGTGATGGGCCGAATGGTTGTCACCCTGACCTCAGGTGGGGGCGGCGGGGGTCGCGCTGCGGCGATGGTGGCTAGTTTGGCGCTTCCCATCGCCGCCGCCATCGCCGCCGCTGAGGCCGCCGCTAACAGGTCGTCTCCCGCGATGTCGGGCTGGCGTGCAACAGCGCCCGGCACAGCGGTGAGGTATGCGCCGCTAGCAGTGCTGCGCCTGCTCGTCCGGTACCTTGGCGAACCATGATAGGGATGGGGCGCACGTTGCCTGTTTTGGTTTGGGTTGTAACCTTGGGCCATAGCTGATCCACCGTAAGGTCCATGACGGTGAAGCGGTTTTGGAGCGGTCTCCGACTCGCCTCCATCGGACCGAAATTGAAGGGCAGAATTAGCCATCTGGTTGGTAGGCTCTGGCTGTGATGCATGTGTGGTATCGGGATGTTTTGCGGATTGTGGCTCTTCGGCAGTGCTCTGTGGACAGTGCTCCGTGTTGGTGAGCTCCTGCGGCGGTTGGGCTTCGCCCTCTGTGGACTTTGGCGGGGCGTCCGAACTTCTACCCGCGGTAGCTAAATCTACGTCGCATTGCGGCACTGCAGAAGCAGATTGAACGTTCCGAGCCTTGTGCTTTTCATCGTCAATCGGGGGGACACACTGGCCGAGTTTCGCAAGAGCCGCGTCCACCAATGTATTCGTTTGCCTAAAAGGCACATCATCATTACTTAGGTGGGCAATCATGTTGAACACACACTATGGCGGTAAAAAAACTGATACACGACAGCAAAAGCCCAGGTCAATGCCTGCATACGGTGATAAGACTATTTCGGCAATAACTTATGAAAACTGGCTCCCTACTGATCTGATCGCTGCATAACTGCTGAAGTAGTCAAAACCTATTCAGCTTTTGCCCGTCAGCGTCACCGTACAACTGCCTCTATGCCTTCCACAGTGATGAGCCCTTCATTCCTCACATAGCAATTGGATGAATGACTTATGCTTCCAGGTTCACGGGGGTTGATAGTTCTGACCCAGGACCTCGGCATGTGCACCATGATGCGGTAACCAACTGTGAGGTTTTCAGACACGGCCATGCGTACTTTTAGTCATTCTGTTGCCCAATGCATTATCATGCTGTTATGTCTGCTCTTGAGGCAATCCTCGTTTGCGCATTTCCTCTATGACAGCGCGGATGTGGGTGTTCACAAGTGCGAGTTTCAGGTGCGTGCGCGGAGCTACAACCCCTAAAGCCCATCTAAATTCCTTATGATCCACGTAACTTGTGCCCGCCCGAACCCATGACGGTTCTTTCACATGTGTCGAAGTAACCCGCACCAGCAGTGGGTCCATGGACGCGCCCGCCCACCGTAAACCCACATAACGAGCTATCTTAACCATTTCAATCGGCATCCTTATAACTGCACACAGAATATATAGCTATACGCTCTCAAATGGCGCTCTAACTATTTGCAACAGCCCCCTTGTTTCGTACATAATGCCCTACTTGAGCAATACACCACCCAGCGAACCGAATGCGCGTTGCATCTCCACTGACGACGGAGCAGGTCGGCAAAACACACCTTTCCTCTCCCGGCACAGCAGTAGCCACTGCCCGCCCATTCAGCTTATATCGGAAGCAACCCCAAGCTCTCTGTATAGGCGACGGAATGCAGTGGCCAGTGGTCAGTATGTCGTACGGCGTGTAGTGTCGTACGCTCCAAAGCCAATGTTCCAACGCAACCCGTACGTCAAATCGAGACCATCCAACCCAACAGACCTCCCGACATGACATCGCCACAGTATCGCCATCATCCCAGCAGCCTTTGTACGTCGGACCATACTTTCTTCCCTGCCCCCTAGGGCCGGCGTACCTTCGCCTCGCGCCTCCCCTTTGGTTGATGTTGTTACAGGGTGGTTAAGCTTCACCAGTGGCCTCCTTCCCGAGGCAATTCCCTGCTCTCCCCTGCTAGAGGGGCACCCTAAGCCATTCACCCCATCCGACTTCAGAGTGTATTCGTTGGGTTCGGCAACTCACCACCAGCATCCAACCAAATCTCGCGGATCAACGGCGCGTCAACTTAGTTCCTGGTCAGCTCGCGAGTTGATGTTATCACGTCCTACACCGTCCACAAGATGGGGGGCCACCTCCCATTTCATCACCTCTCAAACACCCCGAGAGGTCGGCAGGCGGATTTGAACCCGGACGCGCCGGAACGTGACGGGAGCAGAAGCCAGGCCTTAACCTCTGCCAGCCGCCTTTAGTTGTTAATGATAATGAAGCTTCAAGAATGCTAGGAAATGGAAAGATTTTCTTTTTATATTCTTTTTATATTATATTACCTCCTCTTTCTCTTCACCGCATAGCAGTAGTCCTAACTTGGGGCTCTCTGCGACTAAGCTGTGCAGATCACCCACCGCGTCATCCACCCTCTGTCGTACGCCCTCCACGTCCCCTTCCGCCGCTTCCAGGGCAAACTGGGTGACAAGCAGGTACGACTGTACGTATTTCTGACCGCATGTACACGGCCCAAGGAGGTGGACCTCCCTGCAGCAGCTGCCGCCGTACGAGTCCCAGTGGTGGCGGCGGCGGCGGCCGGCTCTACTGCTGCAGCGGCAGAGGCGGGCGGCAGAAGGCGCGCCGCCATCGCAGCGGAGGCGGCGGAACGGCCGTACGGCAGCAGCCATACTGCCTCATCCTCCCGGTCCTCTTCCCTGCCGCCGCCGCCGCCGCCACCAAACCTGTTCCTGTCGGGATTCACGTTCTTGATGGACCTCGGCGATTGCGTCACTTCCACGCAGCTGCAGCAGCCGCTATCGACGCTGCTCTGGGCTGCCAGGCGGCCGCAGGCGGAGTTCTTCCTTCCGGATGCCGTTCTCAGGCGAGCAGCAAGCAGCAGCGATGGCAGTAGCAGTAGCAGCAGCAGTAGCAACAGCTACAATAGCAACAGCTACAACAAAAGTGTAGATGCAAACCGTGGCACTGGAAATGATGTTACAGAGAGTAGCAGTACGACTGGCAGTGGGAGCAGCGGCGAGGGTAGCAGTAGCAGCAATGCTGGCGGTGGCGATGGAATTAGCTTGTTGGGGGATGATGGCCGTACAGCACAGGGAGGTCGACGGAGGCTTATGCAGGATGGTGAGCTGACGGCGCCGCCGGGGCCCCCGCCGCCGGCACCGGACACCTTTCCGGGCGCTGTACGTGAGGCAGGTCTGCAGTTGGTGAACGGCACGTATGGCATCATCCGTATCAGGTACGGCATAACGGTATAACGGTATGGCCGCTAGCGCAACGGAAATTATAGGTTCGGAGCGGACAGGTTCGCGAGTTATGGGAATAGATACAGGAGACGCCGTAAAGATTCCAATCAGGTGAGAGGGGCGGTTTGCTGCTATGCTTATCAGCTTTACAGGATAATTATTTCCTAATATTATTGTAAATGGTGAATGGGAACAATGGTGAGAAATGCCATTATGCCATAGCTTTTGGCCTATGGCATGCCTTTCGGCCCGCTACCACGTGATATGTGATAGGTGTCCGATGTGAAAAGTATCCAGGGCTATCCAAGGCCACGGCTTAATGGGGCTTGTAGGATACATTCCGAATCCCGGGATCGAGCTCTATCAGGCGCGTCACATGTCAGGAGATGTAGCAGATGTACGACCTAACGTGGAGATGTGGATGAGCGTCGGTGTGAGTACTCTCTTGCTCTTGCCCTAACCAAAATCAAAGCAGAGGAATTTGATATCCTGCAATTGGGACCTAAAACGTATGAATGAATGTACGACATCCCTCCTTCGTCTGAGTGCCGTGAATTGGGTTTTGTTTTGTGATCTCCACGCAGATCGCTTCACTCGCGGCAGCAGTATGACATGCATCTGTCGTACCGCGATACCGTACAATGGCTCATCAATCCTAGCCTCCGCAAGGAGCCAGGCCGCCTTGTTGTACGACTTTCCCTGGAGCCAACCGAGCTGGCAGCGATTGCTAATGCCGCTGCCGCCGCTCGTACGGCGACAAAAGGTGCCGTACAATCCGTACCGCCAGCATTCGAGGTCACGGCGGATGGTTTTGAAGGCACGTGTGCCTACACGCCCTCAGCCGGTGACCAGATGTTGTCGTACACTGAATCCGGATCTCGTCAGAGTTTAATCCCGAGCCTTCCTATCTGCGGTTGGCTAGATCCGAATCGAGTTTCGTACGACAAGTCTATGTACGAGTTTTGGCGCACCCTTCAGTCACCGCCCTGGAAGCGCCTGCAGCAGCAGAAGAAGAAGCGAAGGCGGCTGCCGCCGCCGCCGCCGCCGCCCCCGCCACTCGCGACCAGCTTCACCCCGCCTAGCTATATGGTCATATCGCCGTACTTTAACCTTACGCCGTACGATTTTGCAACGCTGCTTTGCCATCACCTGGAATACCATACGGCACTGGGTGAGTGGGCTCCCGCGACCGGGGGGCGCAACTCGCGGGGGGGCTTTCCGGCACCTGCCGTACGGCTCCAAGGAACGTCGACAGGAGCATGCCAGTGCAATCCCAAAGCCGTAGACGTGAAAGGCAATCAAGTCAAACAGAGTCTTAAAGCTATTCACGCACTAACAATGGACTTGAGTTTTATGGGACGAGCTCTAACAAGCCGGCTCGAGGAAATGTCGCACACGTCTTTTTAGTTTGTCCTTTCGGGAATCGGCAAGCCGACTTTCTTTTGCGTCTCCATTCTCTCATTCTCTCTCCTGCTTTATCTCTCTCCCTTCTTCCTATTCGTAAAGCGGATTCCGTGTTGTTCAACCGCCAACCACCAACCGCCACCAGGAATCCAAAAGTATTTGGTGTACATCGAAGAGGGCGAAGAGGGGCTTATGGCAGATGCGCGTCTAGCGGCGCTGGCGGCTGCTGGCAGGCTGCAGCTGGTACGTTGGCGGGAGCTGCCGGCCGTCAAACTTCCGGGTACTGATGTACGACAGCCGTACGCACATCAGGTACGGCTGGGACCCTAACATCAAGATGAATAAACGAACAATACACGAACACAGACACGACGCTGCGGCTCGTCGTCTGCCTGTCTTGGGAAGCTCCCCTAGCTCGCGCTCGCGGTCATGCACCCCCTCGCCTCTCCCCCCCTCGCACCAGGGTGGGGTCTGGGATGGTTTGGTGGGTACGACACGTGCCGCTTCCCGTACTGCAAAGCTCAACCACGCTTGGCACTTCCTCTCCCACCTCAACCCCTCAACGCGCTTCCCTCCCTCCCTCCTCACGCCTTTCCGTCGCCGCGATGTGTGTGTACGGCTCCGGAAGATTCTGTCGTACAACCACGCGCTTCTGTCGCTATGGCACTTGGCCGCAGTGGTGGCAGTCGCGGTGAGGGATTTCAGAGGGCTGGAGGGGAGGGCCCTGCGTACGGCAAAAGTACGGCCAAAGAGCAGCTGATCCGACCTCATCCTTTTTGAGTGGGAAGCACGCGCTTCTCAAGGGAGGGTTTCGGAGCGGTGTTGCGGGGACTCACTAATTCTGGGGGGGACCATGACAAATGACACCACCTGTGGCAGGGGAAAAACACAATCCATCGGGGAGCACATTTATGGTCGTATAGTACATGTTTATATTGCGGAATACTGCCGTACATGCCTGACGTGATGGATTGTCGTACGCCTCAGGACTTGGACGAGTACTTGCTAACCCAACGGCCCATGACGTTGGAGCAGGTGGGTGATGGTGGGTCCTCCTGGTGGGCTGGGAAGTGTGGCGGATACATTCTGACGCATCAGCCATCCCTTACACAGCCCAGTCGGATATAGGCATACATACAGAACTAAGTTGATGCGCCGTTGATCCGCTAGCTTTGGTTGGATGCTGGTGGTGAGACGCCGAACCCAAAGAATACACTCTGAAGTCGGATGGGTGAATGGATTAGGGTGCCCCTCTAGTAAGGGAGAGCAGGGAACTGCCTCGGGAAAGGGGGCCGCTGGTGAAGCTATACCACCCTGTAACAACATCATACAGATGGTTGTGTGTCTTATCGTCACATTCCACACTGTCGTACATTGTTGAAAATTCTAATCTTTTCCTAATCCCAACAAGCGAGCCGCATTTTATTCCCACCACAAACCCCAGGTGGTGTTTTCTTGCTCGCCCCCGGGTCGCTACCCGCCCGGTGCGTTGTGGGTCCCGCGACGTAACGCTCTCTGTACGACATGCTGGGCGGCCCTGGTGGGTGACCTTCCGGAGACACGCACCGCGTTACGCCGGGCACCGCACGCGCGGTCGCCAAACGGCACGGCGCTGCGAAACGTCTCCGGAAAACAAGTCGGCAACGCGACGCTGGTGGCGGCAGCGGCCGCCCTGGAGCGCCAGATGTGGCTGACCGCCGCCGCCGCCACCTCCCGCGGCGGCGGCGGCGGCGGCTCCGCCGCCGCCGTTCTGCCGTACCACCCACTAGAGCACTACCGCCACTGGCGGGAGGGCAATCACCACAAGAGCATCATGTATAGTCACCTGGTGTCGTACTTTGGCGTTCATATGTCGTACAGTGCCGTACCGGGGCGGCGGCCGCATACGGTGGCCCGTTTGGGGTGTGCGGTGTGGGCGCACTTGGGGACTCAGCTGGGTCCCCGGCAGGGCGCTGGGGGGGATGACGAGGTGGCGGGGGGGAAGGAGGGGGACGACTCCCGCCGTGCCCAGCCAAGGCAAGGCGGGACCACGACGGCGTCGGCGACACCTCCTGCAGATGCAGGCCGGGGCGTGCAGGTCGAGACGGGAGTGGGGGTACAGAGGACGTCTTATGGGAGCGGTGAAGGGGCTGTGGCCGTGTTTCCGCCCAGGGCCAGCAACGGTAGAGAAGCGGAGGGGGAGGAGGAGGAGACGGGGGAGGAGGACGGCAACGCGGACATTCGGGACGGGGACGGGTTTGGGGCTGCTGGTGGGCAGCGGGTTTCAGATAGGGCCCGGGGAAAGTTCGCTGCGGGTACTGGTGCGGGTGCCGTACTCCCGGTTGAGGGTCGGTACTACTGGGCCCTGAACCAGAGGCTGGGTAGGCGTGTTCCCTGGGAGCGCCACTGGGGGCAGAAGGTGGGGATGAAGGCGGAGGGGGTGAAGGGAGTTGCGGACGTCTAGGAGTCGGCTGCGCTGGCGTAGGCAGAGGCATAGGCAGGTGAACGGGGGCATAAGCATGAGCGGGAGCGGAGGCGGGGCCGGGGTAGCGCACAGGAGCAGGTGAAGGGGAAGGGGAGAGATGGCGAGTGGGAGCGCGAGGGCCAGTGGCTGCATGGGGCTCGGAAAAGAATGAGGATTTGGTGGGGTGGGTCATGGGGGCGGAATGCGTGATTTGGAGATTCGCGGATCGTGTTTTGGTTGTTTTTAGTGTCTGGGAGATAGGAAGCTGATAACTGTTACTGCGTGTCTGTGTGAGGGTAGGTTCTGGAAGATTTCGTCGAAAACAGTCGTGAAACCGGATTGCATTGTCCGTTTCTGATTTCGATATCCCGGTAACGGAGTTCGAAGGTTTCCCACATTCGCAGGTCTCTTGTTCTCTGGGTGTGTGTTTATGTATGTGTGTGTGTGCGTGTGTGTGCGTGTGTGTTGTGCCTATCATATATAAATATACTGACCATGTACGGCACTACCTTTTTTAATTTTGGACGATACATAGATAGATACAGAGATACAATATGTGCGTACAATTTATTTGATTTGGTTTTGGGCATTAATTTTACCTGGCTATTGTAGCCAAATATATTACATAGACACAGAGCTAGCTAGTTGGCGCTGCAAGAACCGTGCTTATGTGTATGGCCCCCCTAGGCAGCCAGGCAGGTGGCAGGTGCAGGTGGGCCCTAGGCGAGCTTGGGCTACGAAATACGGCCCGTGGTCAAGAGATGCAGTCGCGGAGTGTACGGCAGGCTGGCCATGTGCATGCACGAATTCGGAGGCGGGTTCGGGTGTATTCCCTCCGGCTGCCCGGTGGGTGTTTGGCCGTCCTCCCGGTGGGCCAATAGCCGCTATATACCGGCGTTATGTAATCCGTTACACGATCCGTTAATAAATCGCTTCGGAACTCCAGAGATACCTAACCCCAGCCCTAACCCCAACCATACACGGGGTCTTCGCATCTCCATTGATCTCTGAACCCAGATCGCCCACCCACATAACAAAGCATACTAAACTGGCAAATCCAATGCACGCAAAGTCATACGGCCCCGGGGGGATCTCTCATGACCCCAACTCGCACCTGCCCGAGTTACGTGCTCGTACGTGCCCGTACCTCAACCCGACGCTGCCAGTGCTGATAGGACAATGATACACCAGTCCGTACACACCGTACGGAAAAAGCCAGAGCTCATGGTGCAACAGCCGACTAGCTCACCCGGCCGAACAGCCGCGCACTGTATGTATGTACGGTGCCTGTACAACCAAATCAGCAGCAAAAACACATGAGGGACCAACAGACCCGCCACCGTGCACGACCTAATCATACCCTACCAGCTGGTCCGAAATAAAAAACAAAACAAGTGGACTACACACACACTGGGGTCTCATCCGAATCGCCACATTCGTTCGTATTGAATATACACATCGTCTATGTCTCACACAGGTTCCACACGTCTCTATCGTTTACCCCGCCCCACCCCGCCCCACCCCACCTGGCTAATGTCCCCTGCTTCCCGGCACTGCCAGTCCACCACCTGACCTAGCGTGACCCACAGGGGGCCTCTCGAGACTCCGAACCAAACCCCCGAATCACTCCTCGTCCAGCTCTCCTGCAAACCCCGCCACGTCATCCAACAGCAGTCGTACGATGGAGAAGTCCGCCGCTAACTGCACCGCCGCGGCGCCGTTGGCAGTGCTGGCCTGCAGCAGCCTGCCCCTGCTACCCCTGTGGCGGCCCGCCACCACCAGCACTGCGGCGCCCTCACTGCGAGGAACCACAGTCTCCAGAGATGACTCCGCCAACTAGGTAGGGGGGTAGCAGGTGGGAACATGGACAATGACGGACATGGGCATAAAAATATGATAACAGCTTCGAGTCAGTCCATGTTGTTTAAAAGAGCATGAAGGCATCCTTTTGATGATGTGAGTTATCCACGTGCATGAATACCCGTTAAGGACTACGCCGCGAAGATTTGCTGTTCTTCACTACGCCAGATATGGATGGAGGCCGCCGTTTAGTGTCAGGATAGCGCCTTTTTTCAGACTGCTGTTCTCGCGAAGACGCCGGCGGGTTTCCGGAGAGGCGGTTGCGTCTGCAGTGTGTGTCGAGGGGTCTACGTTCCTAGTCCTAATCCTCCTAACCCCAGTCCTCCACTTTTCCGCACCCGCAACCGCAACCGCAACCGCAGCAGCAGCAGCAGCAGCACGTTGGCCGGGGCCCCTCCCCCCCCCTCCTTTCCCTCTCTCTCCCCCCCCCTCTCCCTCACCCGCAGCACATCCCCCGTGTCGTCCACCGCCACATCCGCAGCGCCCCCCGGGTGCACGTCCACCACAGTGCCCTTCTTGAGGTACAGCTTGCCGCCGCGGACGGACTTGTCCACTATGCGCACCTGCAGCCGCATCAAGGGAGGGAGGGGGTGATGGCATGGAAGGGTGCCTTGGGGGAACACAGAAGTGCCGCACGAGGAGGATAAGGTTAACTAGACGGCAGAGCGTGGCGCGGAACGGCACACGGGGGCTGCAAGGGGATACGGCGCAAGGTGGGCGGTGGTGGCAAAGGACTGCGGATGAGCAAAGAAGAGGAGAGGACTGCTCTTAGTAACTTCTCGGGTTGTAGGGACCGCCTCTCGGGCCAAGAGAATGGCGGACGATTGGAGGGCAGGAGAGCCCACCTTTCCCCCCCCAACGAAAAATAGTGAAAGCATCAACGGATTGAAGCATCGACGGATCGACAGCCAACCGCTCTCCCTTAATAATGGGCCTGTCCCACCACTGCCTAACCCCCTGTTCCTGGGAAAGCAGAGCTGAGCTACATCTGTGCACCGACCCCAACGGTAAACACCGCACTCCGGCACCCCACCAATCTATCAACGCTCCACCCCATATCCAGCACCAGCACCAGCACCAGCGCCCCCGAAGGTGCTCAGTGCGGGTGCTCAACCCAGTCATAATTGTCGTACCTTGATGTACGGAAACAGCCACGTGGGGCGGCTACTGGGCTGAGGTACGGCCTTCTCCTCCTCCCCCTCCGTGTCGTCCCCCGAGCTACTGCTCCGAGACCACTCCCGTCCCCTCCCCCGGTCGCCACCGCCGCCATCGTAATCGTCGTGTTGATCTCGTTCCCAGTGTCTGGATCTGCCCTTGTCCTTATCTTTTTTCTCTTTCTTGTCTTTTTTATTTTTCTTCTTTTCCTTCTTCTCCTTTTTATCCTTTTTGTCCTTTTTCTTGTCGTGTTTGTGCACGTCCTGAATCTGCTTGTTGTGAGCGGACGAGTGGTAGTCGCCTCTCCGGTCGCCCTGGTCGTACGGCTCCTCGTCACGATTTGTGCGACGCTCGTCCCGGTACTGCTTCTCCTCCCTTTGTGGGTCGCGATCCGACCCACGGGACTTCTTAGCAATGCGCCCGCCATCACCATCATCCTCATCCTCATAATGCTGCCGCCCGTCCTCACGTAGCCGCCGCCGCTTCCCGCTGGCGCCGCCTCCGCTCCCTCCATCGCCTCTGCCATCATCCCACTCCCCCTCGCGCTCACGTTGCCGCCCTGCGTCACGCTCCCTGTCGTACTCTCGTCGGCCGGTGCTACCCCGCCCTCCCCCCCGTTCCCCCTCGCGCTCTTGGGCCAGTTCCCCCCTAGAGACTGCAGCCGCTCCTCGCTCTCCTCCTCCTCCTCCTCCTCCTCCTCTTCCGCTGCTGCTACCGCCCCCGCCGACCCTGGCAGCTACAGCTACCCCCTCAGGCTCCCTGCTCCGCTGTCTCTCTGCCGCCGCCTCGGATCTTCCCCCCCGTTCCCACTTCTCCCCCAGCTCCGAAACCAGCACCTCCACCTCCTCCTGGCTGGCTGTTAGTCGTACCCGCCAACGCTCTGCTTGGCCGCACATCGCATCGTGGCCACCGCCAGCACCACCACATCCAAGCCAAGCCAAACCAAGCCAGGCAATAGCCGAATGCCGCCACCGAAAAAGGTGAAAAAGCGAAGAGGGAAATGGGGGAAAGGAGTCACGTTAGAAACGTCGGAGTTAATTTGGAGCGAGGATAGCATAACAGCTGCTTGCGCGTTGAACACTGTCAACAGTGTCGTACGGGCTACCTTTGTGATTTTGGCTTCCTCCCACATCTGGTGCTGGTGACGGGCCCGGCAATCCCGCCGCCCACCCCATCAATCCACCCCATCACACCAGCCGCAGGGGAGCAGCAACAAGCGCACATCCAACAACTCCTTTCCTACCCTACCACAAACCTCACGGCGCAAAACACAGCCTAACGCGACTTAATGACCTCCACATTGTAACGCCTCTCGGTCCCCCCCTCTCCTCCTTACCCGGCTTGCCCTCGGGGGCTCGGGGGAGCGCCTCCAATGCCGTACACGCCAAACCCGCGTGTGGACCCCCCGTGATGCGCATGTCCTTGCCGGGCTGCGGGCCTGGAAGGACCTGCGGCAGGGACGGGTGTCGTACAAGTGTGTGGTGGGATGTGGGGCATGGCGAGAGAATGACATTGAGTAGTTTTTGGAAAAACCTCGTGACACATGGGAAATCCCAAATGTAATTCGCAGGGCCAAGCAGGCAAGCCGACGTGTCTGGATTAGCAGGCGGTCAACAAAGAGCATTAGTGAGGCACACAGCCAGCCAGCCAGACACACAGACAGACAGACACACACACACACAGACAGAGAGAGAGGATAATGGCGTCGCCATTTGCCGTGACTTGTACGGGACTCCTCCTGCGTTGGCGACGTCGCACACGTCCACTAGCTGCCCCCCCACCCCATCCTACTCCAGGACATACCGTACTGCGCGCCACAAGCTGCTCGTCCAATTTACGGATATTGCGTTGTCGGCCATCTGCATCTGGCGCCAGTACCAAGTCCTGCCGCTGCGGCTTCTCACCTATAAGGCAATCCGAGTTGTCGAGACGTTGGTAGTTAGAGAGGCAGTTAGGCAGTTGACGGGAGCCGCAAACATACATATAAGACACATATACCGTAAACAATGCGTAATATCATCTTCCGACGTCCGATGTACGGCTTCGTGAAGGAGCAAAACAGGGAAATGGGGAGAGAGACAGAGAAGGGGGGGATGGTGGGGTGTGCTGGCAGAGATGCGGGAAAGGAAAGAAGTGTGTGTGCACATCTTCCATACCCCAATCCCACATGCACATGCATCTCACGTCATGCATCTCCAATAAAACTGACGACGGACAGACACGGCAAGGTAGCCGGCAGCTGCCTCTGGGGTCCCCCTCCCCCTCCCCCTCCCCCTCCCCCTCCCCCTCCCCCTTACTTCATCCCCCTGTTCCCACCATCCCACCCCGTCCACCACTATTCCAACCGCGCAGTCAACCCCACAGACGGCGACCCCAGCCCCCTAGCCACACAACACCACATCCACGCACCCATCTTGACGGGTTTGCTGGGATCAGGGGCCAGGGCGACGGGTTGAGCCCCCAGGCCCAGCCGCTCCGGCCTCCGGACGTACTCGATGGCGTCCACTTTTTGCCGGTTGCGGCCTACACCCATACCTTCCTCCCAGCCCATGCCACGAAGCATGGCCTTGCCGAACTCTTCCACCGGCATCGCTTCGTAGGCCTGAGCGCGTGAGCGCGCAGGAGGACGGAGGACGGCCAAGGGTGCAGGGGAGGAGGATTATGGGGAGCACGGGATGGGGGATAGGGAGGCATTGGCACGAGGGTAAGCAACAGGACGTGTGGTGTAGGTTGGTAACCGGGGCTAGGTTCCATCGTGTTGAAGCGATGCAGCTCCATTGGTCTAAAAACTACCGTGGCCCCAGATAGAGAAGGATGGGTCTTCGGTCGCACCTCGACGTCCATAGCATCGGGCAGCTCCACCACCGACTCGCGGAACGCTCGCGCCTCCAGGGCAGCTGCCGTCGTGCTCCCACCGGCTCCATTCGAGAACTCCACGACCTGGGCACTATCCCCTTGCTTGTTTTCTCTGAGCTGCAAGCCATATTCCGTGATGACAGGAACTGTGGAAGCTGCCTGTACAAACCGGTCTTCGGAGTTATCGACATTGGCGTCGGAGCTGGGTGGCTTATATGACGGTGTGAACTTTTTGGGGCCCACGCCAGATTTGTATGTGTTCTCGATCTTGGGGATGACATACGTCTTGACTTCTGTGCTGGTATCTCCACCGACGACCTGTATCTTGGCACCTTCTATCCCGGAGATGAGCTGTCCTACATCCTTCTTCTCCTCCAAATTAACAGCAACTTTTTGGACATGTTTTTTCTTTTGAAAAGTAAAGGCTAAGGCCGCCTTCTGCTCCTGCCCGTCTGCCATATTCGCTAAAGTTTATGGGAACATAGATCACTTCCAATCGATTAAGACTGAAAACATGGCAGCCAACCTATGGCTGTTGAAACAGGGACCGTAACGGGTCGAGGGCGCATAAGCGGCTGAGACTGGAAAGCTGACTACTAGCCCTGATGACGTTGCAAAGCAAACCACAAGCCCAGGTAGTGTTCAACACGATGGCAACTTGGCTTTCACCAAGTTTAACCGTTTTGTACAACAGACGCGACGGCAAGTCACTCCAGTTTAACCAGGCATGCCAAGTAATTGATGCTGCATTGGCTGGAAGGGGAGGTCATAGTCATCCAACATATAAAGGTCATGAATTTTGCACGGTTAGACTAGGACGGTACTGTAGCTACAGCCCCTCATCTATCCATGCCGCAGCTTTCCCAACTGCAAACCGTTTCGACATGAATTGCCGTGGCCACAGTAATTGCCGTGGCCACAGAAAACGCAATAATAAGTGGAAAAACAGTGGAAATCGGCGTTAGGATGTAATTGCTGCAGAAACGGGGCATATGTACCAGTGAATGTCACCTGCATGTTGATCACGGCTGAACGACTATTGCGTAGATGCGCTAGCTTACCCACTTTGCCGGACGTTCCACCACGACATGGTGGTTGTAACTCTTAACGTGCCTTTGTGTGCCGTCTCATCCGAATGTCTAGTCCATCCAGTCTTGAGCATCACAGACTTCCCATGTATAGTGCGGGATGTTTTGCCATGTACCGTTTGCTAAAAATCCTCTGCTTTGGTAGAAAGGCGTCAGAAGCCATTTTACAACAGAGAAACATCCCGTAGCGACGCTCTATGCCGCCAGGCGATAAGCATATGTGCACAGCAGGCGGTAGACAAGTTCAGATTAACCCTGCGCTTCCGCTTTTGCAGCGAACCATCAACATAGAAAAATCCCCATTCCTTCACGAGCACTTCAAGTCCGCCGGCCAGCTCCTCCACGGCCCCCTCTCCTCCCCCGCGCACCACCGCCCCCTCTCCTCCCACCATGATTCTCTCGCCTAGCTGCCGCCATAGCCCCACGGCCACCCTTGTCGCCACCCCGCCCTCTGCCCCTCCCCTTACCACCGCCGCCTCCTCCTCCTCGCCCCTCCCGCTCCCCGCCTCCCCGCCCCTCCGCCTGCTCCCGCTCCGCTCGATCAATGAGCGCTGCGTAATCATCCGCACTGGCGAACAAGCTGCCCCCGCCCTTTTTGCCGCCTCCCCCTTCCGCTTTCTTATCCTTCTTGCCAGTATTACCGCCTGCCTTGGCCCCTTTCCTAACCCCCGCCGCAAGCGACATCGGCCGCGGCCCCGCCTCGTCGCCATCCTCGTCCTCGTCCTCGCCAGCCTCCTCCATCTCCACGTCCTCGTCGTCGCTGCCGCCAGCCAACATACGCAGAAACTCATCATCGCCTCCGCTGTCCTCGTCCTCCTCCTCCTCAACCCCGTCGCTCGAAGACCCGCCGTCTCCCCCTTCAGAAGAGCTCTCAGCCCCGTCATCCTCATCCACATCATCATTCTCATCCGAAGACAGCGCCTCCAGGTCTGCCTTGGAGATACCCGCTGCTTTCATGGCCTCCCTGTGCCGCTGCCGCCGAGCTGCTGCCGCCGCCTCGTCACCCTCCTCTTCCGCTTCGTCGTCAGCACTGGGACTTGGCAGTTCCAGGATGTTGACGCCGTCCAAGCTACCGTCCTCTTCCTCATCGTCGTCGGCGGCCATCTTTTCGTCTTCGCCATCGGCATCGTCCTCGTCGCCATCATCATCCACCCCCGGCTGTTCCTCCTCGTCGTCGTCGTCGAGGTCATCCGCCTCCATGGCAGCTTCCAACTGGTCGTAGTCGTAGCCCATCTCGGAGCCGCCCAGCGTGTCATCCGCCATGCACTCCTGCACGGCCCGCCACGCATTTAGACACAATAATGATTGTGAAAACCACATTGATGGCGAGTCCTTACTACGCAAGACAGTGGCAGGCAGCATGTTCGCTTCCGTGCTTCATTATCGACACACACACACACACACATCGGCTCACATCATCACCTTCCACAAATATCCTTCTCTTGGTCGCTTTTAAGATGCCTCCAATGCTCCCTCTTTCAATACACGATGATGTTAGTCACAAATGTACCCACATAATCAATACACCATGAACACAACTCAATGCAACTCTACATACATACAACACGTTCTGTAACACCACACACATAGGTAAAACACGAAGTATATGCACCTGCTTCTCCAAGTAGCGGTCGACCTCGTCGTCTTCCGCTTCACTGAGCGACTCGTCACCACCAGCACCATCCTTCTCATCACCCTCGCCATCCTGGCCCTTCTTGGACGACTTGGCCTCCGCGCGGGCTGCCCGCTTGTCCTTAACTCCCTTGAGGTTGAGGAACCTGCAGTTGCAATTCATTTTGGGCTCAATGGACCAGGTAAAGCTACCAGAGGAACCCGCTAACAGAAGAACGGCACACGATCGCAGTGGTCCATCTCTGGCTGGGGAACGCGACTAGCGATGCAACGCGGCCGACGATAAATATGCTATGCAACTACGACATGCATACATACATATACACTTACTTGTGGAAGAAGAGGTCTGCAGACTCCACCCGAGCCTCCGCCAGTGCAGCAAAGGCCTCACTGCTTAGCTGAGCCAGGCTGACGGGCCGCGGCTGTTGCTGCTTCTGCTTGGGCTGCTTCTTGCCGCCCGCTTCTGCGACTGCTGCCTGCAAGGAGCCCAGCGCGCCACCCAGCGGCGCCGCCGTGGGCTGCATGACCGAGGTCCCGCGGGCAACGGGCTGCGAGGCGGAGGGGAAAGGCAGGAAGGCAAAATGCTCTGAGAAGAGAGCGAGAACAGAGCGGTCTAGGCCACATAAAGATGCTAAATGTGGCCATCAGTCGCAGGCGATCGTCGGTCGCGCCGGTGTCAGCCCGGGGGGGGGGATCTTGTACGCGGACTGTACACACATGTCCTTTTTTCCCCCCTACAGCCATCCCGACACGAAGCGAGCCACCCCGGACTAGCTCGCACCTTGGGCTTCTTATTGACAAACTTGTCGAGGAATGCCACCAAGCTCAGGTCACGTAACGGGTCGCCGTCAAACACGACAGGCGCGCCGCTTAGCAACGATCGCGCCATGGCGGACACGGAGGGGTGCGCGTGGGCCCCCAGCACCGTCAGCTCCCACCAACACGAGCGGTCGGCGTTGGCGTACAGCGGCTCCCTGACAGCCAGGAGCGCCAGGAAAACGCGCAGGGCCACAAGAACGCAGTTCGACAGGTCGCGAGAATGATTCAGGAAATGGGTTGCGTGGATGACCGGTAAAGGTATGTGTGACATGATAAGAAGAGTGATAAGGTGCGGGTGCGGGTGAAGGGCAAGTGTATGACTTGATTGCTGATCACAACAACGTCGTCGTCAGATTAACTCTATTATGCTACCAGGTTTCAGCACAGCAGCGCGCCAGTTCATTCCCGTCTGGGAAGGCCACGCCCCCCCCCTCGGCCTCCTCCTTCACGAAGCCCCCAACGCGCGCACCTCTTGTCCATCTGGTAGTAGCTAGGCAGAGGCCATGCCGACGGCACCGCAGCTAGGGCCTTCGCCGCCGCTGCCGCCGCCTTAGCCGCAAGTAGCCCTGACGGCGGCGGCGCCGCCAGATCGCGGCCGCTGGGACTCGCCAAAGCATGCGTCCGCCGGCGTGCGCCGTCAAGGTCCAGCTCGACACCTGCCAGCTCCGCCTCCTCCTCTTCCGCCTCCTCGCTTTCCGAACCAGCGGCTCTCCTCCCTCCCTTCTTCTTAGCGCCTTCAGCTGACCCATTTCGCAACTTCTTTCCCTTGTGTGACGACGACTTTCCGCCAACATGGCTCCCCATGCCGTTCTCGTTCCCGTCTTCGTCCTCGGAGCCGTCGTGGTCTCGAAAGCGTTCCACTCCGTCGTCATCATCGCCGTCTGCCAGGAGGTCGTCGTCCGGGTCCTTGAACTGCTCCTCACCTGTGCCCCCCAGATCCTCCGGATGGCTGATAGACGCCCAGAGAGCTGGCTGGCAGGAGAGCACCTGATAAGAAAGGGCGGCAGCAAGGTATTGGCCTCAAGACAGGTAAGAGGGATAGATAGGTAGAGGATAAGACAGAAAAGACAGACTGGTGAAGGAATACACGGGGCTCTCCAGGAGTTGTGGAAATGAAGAGCAAGGCAACGAGAGCGCCCTCACCTGGGAGATGAGCATGAGCGCTCCACACGCCCAGTTGGGCTGCGCGGCAGCGGCCAGCTGCAGCAGGCGCTTCGCAAACGCCGCCACGCGCTTCACTGACACATCGCCCTGGAAGAGTAAGCAAACAAGAATAACAATGGACAGAGGAAAAGAAACAATGAAGTTGAACTAAAAGTCACGTGTTCATACAAGCACAAAAGAGCAGAGCTTAGCGCCGTGAGCAATCCTCGGGCCTATCCATCTAAAAGCGGCATAACCTCGCTTTACATTCCCCAGTCAGATCTCGCTCTACATCCCCCAGTCAGATCTCGCTACATTCCTAGCCCCCGCCTCAAAATGCCATCACATGTTCCACGCGACCAGGCACCTCCACACCCAGACCCGCACCCGCATGGCCGTGAACAGCAGCGCAAGGAACATGGGTGCGCGAGACGATGTGGTGGGGCCGTCACGGTCCAAAGCTGCGTACAGCGCCCGGTAGTACCTGCAACAGCCAAGGGAGAGGGAGGGACGGATCCAAGGAAGAAAGGGAGGAGACTTAAAGTTTCGGACAGCGCTGGGACAAGATGAGCCCAGCCGGAAAAAATACGCGAAAGTAAACGCGACCTGCGAAAACACAAAATAAGTAACACGTTTTACCGCACAGCACACAGGCACAACAGGGGGTTAACAGGACTCGTGATGAAGGCAGACAGATATGTTTGGTGGGATTTGGGTCGCACCAGAGACAAACAACCAGAGGCACTATCTGGCTTACCGGTCGCTGATCGCCGCTCGTGCCGACATGAGCTGGTACATGAGCATGAGCGCCTGTACGGCAACCGTGAACGGCGCCGTGTGCACAAGGCGAAACAGCTGGCTGGCAGACTGCTCGACCAACGGCTCCACATCCTCAGGCTTGACGTAGGGGAAGGCACGGCGCACGCCCGTGATGAGTCCGGACAGCAGCCGGGCGTCCACCTCCTCCGCCTGCGGCCAGGGGGATCACGCGAGACAGGGAGGACAACACACATCAGAGTATATCCATTCAGGCAGTAGTATGTTTTAGCGCCGAGCGCCCGCACAAGCAACAGAATTGGCAAGCAATCAGCATACACATTTGCGGGACAGAAGCACGCATGGACATGGCGGGAGATGGAGGATGTAAGGAATAACGGAAAGGGAAGCACGGGAGTGCCATGACATTAAGAACGAGGACAGATTGCCCCGGGGCTGCTTGGGTATAATCACCCCCCCCCGCCTGGCAATCCTATTACTAAGATTTACCGCACACTACAGCGCTCACCACAGCCATCTTGGGCGGCGGTGGGGGCCTGGCGGGCTTGCGACCGCGACCTCCCCGGCCACCGCGACCACCTGGCCGGGCGGTAGCAGCCTTGCGCTGCTCCCGCCAAAACTTCTTCTTCTCCTCGGCGTACCTCTCCTCCTGCCGGAAGACAAAGGGGACAGTAGGGAAGAAGACAAAAAGGTTAAGTTCAGGGTTATGTGGCACACACGCCACAATTAGACAAATTGCCAAACGCAGGTTCCAAATGTACTGTACAGCTCCTTAACACAGCTTTCGCGCCGACAGCCTCAAGTTCACCCCTCTTCGCACTCCCCCAGGACATAAGCGTGAGGTACAGATACATGCATGCAAGAAGGCCGGACAAGGGCCCGTGGACAGGGACGACAGTGGGCCCGCGAACCAGGTTCATCAGCACTGCAGGACATGGGAGGTACGAACACTAAAAGGGTCGCCTCCTTGGGGTCAGAGCCTTGAGGGTGATCCACATATCGACCCGTGAGTCGCTTGAGACTTCAACGAGGAAAGGACTGAGCTCATCATACCCCGTGAGGCATCCGTCTATTGATATCATACCTTTTTATTATCCTGCCGCCGAAGAGAATTAAGAAACATGATACACACGCAATCACACCTCACCCTTTGACACACACCCACACCCGCAGAGCATACGGTAGTAAACATGATGAACATGATATTCGAGACACACGCAGGACTTGCACACACAACAAACGTCCGCTTTTGAGCTTTTCGGGTCTCACACCTCGCGCGATCCGGAGCTTCTCTATGGCACAAACCACATCTGCACACTCTTACTACTCCTACAGCAGCCGCAATTCCTGACCAGCACCAACCTGCTGCTTCCGAAGCTGCGCCGCCACGCCAATCTGTCCCTCGACCACCATCCTGAAAAGCGTGAAGTACACGCTGATCACCTGGCGAGCCAGTGCGTCGCCACCCTCAGACGCACGATGGCTGAGAGGTACCTGGTGTGGGAAAGAGACGTCCGAAGCATCATTATTAGGCTAAAGTCCAGAGCCATGCATGGGCGAGAATATAAAGGGCAGACGTGATGAGGAAGAGGGGGGAACCGGGGGCAGCACGAGAGGTTGGAGGAGGCTCAACCTGGAAGATTGCTGCGTAGACGAGATGACATTCGACGACGTAACATGCTTGGTGAACGGTGGACGTATCGTTGAGAATAATTTGAAACATGTTCATGGCCATGCATATTACCGAACATGCCTGCCACGTGCCCAGAGGTAACGCAGAACCGGAATGTGCTTTCAGGGTACTCTAGATCGGAGCGATATGGCCCTTAGCGAACACACGATGGGGCCAAGATTCCCTGAACACGGGGCAAAATTCGCAGCTAAAACTGTGCAAATCAGGTTCCGGTCACGTGCATGCAGTTGCAAAAATTTTGCGCCACGCGGTGTACCCACCTGGTTTAGAAAGACTACGGCGTAGTAGCGGGCCTTGTCTGCTAGCCCGGGACGAAAGACAAAGCGCTCCACCTGCATGGGCAACGGAGGAAGTGAGGAAGCAGCAGCGTTCGTCGGGAGGGGACGGGGAAGACACCAGCACTGGTATTGCGATAGGGTATTAGGGTAAAACTACGAATGGAATGCCAACCGAGCATATGTGAGCATTTATACGAGCAGATTTGCTGTAGGGCTACATCGCTTGTCGGTCTTAGAGCTGCTGTGAAGCATCGCAAGAACAGACGGTTTGGCGACGCAAAGCCCGGGGTGATGTGCGCATCTCCTTGCCACGCTGCTGCACGGGGTGACTACGCAGTATGGAGGTTGTGACGCGGTTGGTGCTCATCTGATGGCTCAAGACACAGGCTTCGCTGAGCCAACATTGAAGCGCTATCTAGTCAAGAGAGAAGCATGAGATGCATGGCGCGTCTACTTCGATAAAAATAATTAGCTAATGCTTGCGGATGGATTCCAAATCGTTCGGTAGTCCTCCAGGCGAAAGTCCGAAAGGACGCACAGCCTATATCCAAATTATAAAAAATAATTATAAATAGCGGAAGCATGTTTCTATTGCATATGATGGATGTCCAGGTACGCAACCCAAGGACTGGTGCAACAGCATGCAGCCGTCCGAATCTGGGCAGCCCAACCCGTGAAGTGTGTTTTTCGCATCTCCTTGCCACGCTGCTGCACGGGGTGACTACGCAGTATGGAGGTTGTGACGCGGTTATTGCTCATCCGATGGCGCAAGACACAGGCTCCGCTGCGCCAACGTTGAAGCGCTATCTACTCAGGAGAGAGGCATGGGATGCATGGCGCGTCTACTTAGATAAAAATAATTAGCTACTGCTTGCGGATGGGTCCAAATCGTTCGGTAGTCCTCCAGGCGAAAGTCCGAAAGGACGCAAAGCAGTCGGGGAGAAAAAAATACAAATTATACAGCGCATATCCAAATCATAATTAAATAATTATATATAACAATAATTAATAAAATATATATAATATGTTTCTATTGCATATGATGGATGTCCAGGTACGCAACCCAAGGACTGGTGCAACAGCATGCAGCCGTCCGAATCTGGGCAGCCCAACCCGTGAAGTGTGTTTTTCGCATCTCCTTGCCACGCTGCTGCACGGGGTGACTACGCAGTATGGAGGTTGTGACGCGGTTGGTGCTCATCTGCACAGAGTCTGTATGGACAATATGTATGCTGATGAATGCTACTCCCACAGCCTTCTAACTAGGCCATGAAACAGGGGGAATTATGAGGCTGTGAGAAGGCTGCTGAGGCAGAATTTGATTGCTCGTAATAACAGGACTCTTGTACGGTAAGGTACGACAGTCGGCCAGGTACGGATAGCAACGAGTCCAAAACGTGACGCCATAGTAATTTATTTCTCGATAGTCCATGGGGCTGATGTGCGCGTTTGCTTACCGCACCGCTGCTGGCCGAATGCGGAAAATCAGACACTGTCGCCACTTTACTGCGTTAACGCTGTAAAGCGGCGACAGCTGAAGTCATTTTCCCATTAAATTATGGGCTTAAGAGCACGACAACGCAACGATCGCGTGCGTTTACATCCCTCTCGCCCCTGGGCCCCTGGAGCTGAGATTTTGTCTTCTTGGTGCTTTGAAGGTATTCCGAGCGGGCCAAGGGTATGGCTGCAACTGGAAATGGGTCGCCCCTCTTCCTAGGCGAATTCACTTTCTTCTCCTTGTTCGATTCGGCATTAGTGTCGCTTCTTGAACTTCAAGCCCCTCGACAAAAGGCATTCCATCCCGTCCCATCCTTCCGTTCACTACACGGAAGTGCTACGTGCGCCTACATCCTCCCCTTCTTACATGTACGCATTCCCGCGCTCAACAACGCGAGCAGTCTTCCCATGTCCCGCAAACAAGTGCTCACTTCCCGCACGACGACTGGCTTCATGACGGGATGTGTTGCAAGCAGCTGCATCAGCAAGTAGACCGCCTTCGAGGCCACCTTGCGGGAAGGGTCACCCAACTTGTTGACCAGGGCTGCCAGCAACCGCGCCTCGCATTCCGGCTTTGAAGACAACAGCTCCGCGATAACTCGCATGCTCTTCTCCTACGAGTACATGTTTATAAAACGTTCATTCAATAGAAGGGAGGAGTCACGACCGCGACATAGGAGGATTCGGGAAACGAACAATTCCCAACTGCCACTGAGCAAAATCCAGGAAGAGCAGGACTGAGGGTAAGGAGGACCGTCTGGCATCCGAACCCGCATTGGGAGAAGAGCGATGAAACAGAGAAACAATGAGATGACGGACGACAGAGTGCGCCGAAACAGGTAAACTCACTGTTGAACTCCATAGCCTCCTAGATTGGGGAAGCAGGGAGGGAGGTATCCGAGAAATGCATCCATCCATCTACTCACTCATCCAACCGCCTACCCATTCATCCATCCACCCACTCATCCACCTACCCATTCATGCATCCATCCACTCATCCACCCAGGGACCGTGCATTCACGCAACGCACCAGACTGACAGGCGCCAGGTGAAAACCAAAGGCATCCCACCTCCCTCGCCTCACCCATTCAACCAAGGCCCCCTTCCACACACGCATACAAGCGCACCTTGAGAAACTCCAAGTTGTCCCGGCTGTGCTCCTCCAGTGCCGCCACGAACATGGCATAGCGCCGCTTCACACAGTCCTCCGCCCACCACAGCAACAACAGCTTCTCACCATCACGACCTGAGGGCAGGTCCTGCGGGCGCGTACACATCATCGCACAGTTACTGTGAGTTCAACTGCTGCCTCTACAGGGCCAGTCCATGTTGGGAAGCTTATGCTGGTAGTTGAAGGCGTGTGTCCGGAACATACTTTGCAAGGATGGCGATGACGCTTCAGCAGAAATTTTGCCATTAAACAACAAGGCAATAGTGTTGTATCACGTCTTGCCAGAAAAGAACCGATCGGTGGACGTCAGCTGTCGTGATACTACAAATAGGCTATTAAAAAGATGCTGGGTGCGGGTGGGGCTTAGGGTCCTCGTCAGCTAGGGAAGTAGTAGGAATACTAAAGCCATGGAGCACTTCCGAACGACCATCGTGCCCTCCTCTTTCACCCCTCACCCAGCGCGAGCACGCCACCTTTCCCCCTGTGAATACTAGGTCAACTGAAAGCACCCATGTGTGTCCTGGAAGCGCACACAGCACAAAAAAAACACGATGCGGAGCGAAGCACCCCAAACAACCCCAGGCAGCCCACCTGCAGCGGTTGCTGCTCGAGGAACCTGAGTTTGCGATCAGGCAGCAACACAGTGGTGAACAGCTCCTGCAGGGCGTTGAACACAAAAGAACAAGAAATGGCCGAGAGATTTAGGTGCGCCACGCACCGACTACACTCCGCCTCAAGGCGTAGACAGGTTGCAAAGTGGGTGCAACGGTTTGCAAAGGTGCGGTGCGGGGGCCGTCCGTAAGACAGGTGCGGGGAGCCATGGATTCCCATGGATTCCCCTTTCAGCAGACTCGCATCAAGCGGCCGTACGGTATGGCTCCGTACCGTAAGGCAAGTGCCTAGATTCCTAGCTGCACCGGGCACACGCCCCCATCCCACGGCACCCAAGAACCTAAGTGCATCGTGTCCAATACTTCGAAGCCCTGGTGCATGACACCATCCGTCACATCGACCGACACCAGGTCTTCACACCAACTCCCTTCCCCCTCGACCCCTCTACCTCTATCCCGCGGACTGCGCTTCTTTACAACGCCGACTGGTTAGTTATGCCTTCTTTACTTCTGTGGCGCATCAATCTTTCCTTGGCACCACCTTGACTCGCTCATGGTTAGTCTTCCCGTTCTACCTACTCGCCTGCAGGCCTTCCATGGCTTGCCGTACAAGCTCCTTGCCGCCACTTCGTTTCGTCGCCAGGCTGACCAGCTGGTCCAGAGCCTTCATGTTGGCCACCACACTCTCCTGCGATGCGAATACATTCCAACACAACCCGAACGGAGGCCGTCAAAGACAGTGTGCGTGTCTCAAGTTGGGCCAGGCAGCTTGCGAGACAAGAACGCTGTGCTGCAAACACAAAAAACGGCGATAAACATGTTCGAGAGCGAGCACCACAACGGCAGATTAGCATAGCAAAACACACACGCAAACATATACATGTTTCTCTCCACCTAGGGTTATTGGGGGTGCATGGACCCCCTGCCATCCTGCATCCTGTGAATCCGTGAAAGGCGATGTCCGAATCGGGTGATACGCTGAAGTGCAGAATGCAGACAATCTAGTTCAGAGGGGTGTTGACAGCATATGCATGTGGCTGTATGTAACGTGATGGGTTGGGCAGTATCATGGATGTAATGCGAGGACGCGTAGAACCACCGGAATGATTAAGAGTGCAAAGATTGTAGAAGCCTGGAGTTAAGCGGACAGAGAGGATTACGTACAGCTGCCGCTATCCTAATGTCCTCAGATCCTCTCGCTGGGCGCGCTGATAAATCCAGACGGTTCAGTGCCGCCGGCAAAGCGGCTCGCCGCCTGGGAGTGTAGCGCGCTTTGAGGCGACGAACAAGAGCCGGCTAATTGGGTCATGTTGTCGCCCGAACGACACAACCAAACTCCGAAAGGTACTGGAACAGAAAACAGACCCCTAGGTTCGCCACACGATACGTGAGTTCCAAATGTAATCCGAATGTATGAAATTTGGATATAACTTTATAATTAAGGTTGGGGTTTAGGTTTGGGGTAAAGGAATTGTTGCAAGCCTGGAGCTAAGCAATCAGCCGTTGAAGTGCAGGCTGCCGCAATTATCGAGGCATGGGCTTCAATCGACGCGCTGATAAATCCAGACGGCTCAACGCTGCAAAGAGCTCGCCGCCTGGGAGTGTAGCGCGTGAGGTGCAGAACAGGCTTGACGGAGGGGTTGAAGAAAAGAACGAGTTTGCGGTACGGTTTAATTGTTTTCCAATCAACCAGTGTCGAACATGGAACGACAGAGAGGACTCTTAAGAGCTGTTTGCAAACCCGGAATGCGCAGTCGATATTGTAGAATTACCGCTGCGACAAATAAAGTCAGGTCTGCACGCCACTTGCTGCGCTTCTAAATCCAGACAGCTCACGGCCTTTCAAAGGAAAGCTAGCCGCCTGGGAGTGTGAGCGCAGGTCCGCCAAACCATCTAAACACTCTAGTCCTCTAGTCTCCTACGAATATGCCTCAACCAAGCCCACTGACAATTTCCCCTAAAAACAATTTCCCAAAAATAATTTGGAAAAATGCCTGAAAATCCAGTTTGCCTGGACATTTATTTCTTTACATGATAAAATCCATGCGGAAACCCAGAGCTTGAAACAGATCTTGGAACCTGAAGCTGTTTGAGATCCAACAAAACTGCCAAGCCGGAGAGCCCCTGCTGCGCCCCTGCGTCGCTGGCTGCGCACCTAAGCCGGGAAGGTCACCGCCCCCGTCCTAAAACGATAAACCTTACCTGCACTAACAGCGTCGCCGCCGCAAGCTTGTCCGTGCTCGTACCCGCTCGTCGTACTTGCTGCAGCCAGTTAGCATCACTGGGGTTGCGGCGTTGAAGCTCCTTCTCGAAGGCGGCGGCCTCGGCCTCCATAAGAGCCTCTGCGGCCGCGCGGCGGCGCTCAAAAAGGTCGGGATCAACCCCCGAGGTTGGGGGGCCGGGGGCCGCAGATGCAGCTGCGGCGGATGACAGCGCAGCTGCTGCGCGGTACCAGACGTTGGAATCGGACTTGCCCAGAAGGGACTTGAAGCCCTTCGCCTCGCCTGGAGCAGGGGGATGTGCAGGAGGACAGGCAGGAGGCGGTGCAGTATTGTGTTGGTGTGGGTTTGCGCGGAAGAGAGGGAAGCGGTACAGGTGGGTGTCGGGCGGGGGTGGTTTGTTTGGCCTTGATGCAGGTGCTCCGGCCTTGAGCATGTGGGAATAATATTCCAATCTTGCGATGCTTGGAGTATATTGAGGCATCCTGAGAAAGTCAGCAGTGCGCATACTGGTGAGGGAAGCGCAGGCTGCTGAGTGCTGTAAAATGGGATGTGAGGAGTGCTCAGCCCGACGTGCTTGGGAGAAGTTTCGACGCACCTGGCCTTGGTCCAACACCAAAGTTCCAATCGCGGGCCTTTGTTGGGTCGCCTTCAGCCCCTTGGTCTGTCGAGCCGCCGCCATGATGTGCCGGCGCCGATTTGGGACCGTGCGCTTTGCTTCCGCGCTGCTTTGCGTGCAAGTTGGCTTGGCCGTCCGAATCTTTATCCCTGCCGGATGGACGCACTGCAGACTTGGCAGTGCCATTCTCCTTGTTCGCTGGCGGCTGCTGTCGTTGGGAGAGCATAGCAGAACCCTTGCTAGATACTTGGCCCTTTACAGGTGCATCATCATTCAGACGCTGCCTTTTATTAGGCTTGCTGCCAGGGGCAATCTTCTGTTTCGCCTTACTGGGAGCAAAATCGCTGAAGGCATCATCGCCTCCACCACCCCGGACCAGGCCTAATTGAGACGCAAACGCCTTCACATCATGCTTGAGTGCGTCCGCATCAACCTTTTTGCCCGGCACCTTTCCTGCCTTAGTGCCGGCGGGCGCCTCCTGCGCGCCCATCGTGAATGTACTAGTCTCAGAAATTATATGGGCATCTTGCGGATGACATTGAATGAATACAAGAAGGTATGGCAAGCCTTTTCTATAACCGCAACGGCGTACGGCATCCTAAAAAATGACAGCTGACGGAGTACCGACGATAGCACGGGGAAAGTATTACAGATCTTATGAAACGAAAACTGGCTGTGCACTGCTAGCGGAAGGTCATCTGTCAGAGTAATATTGACTGTTAAACGGTGCAACTTTTTTGCTATCAATTGGCACGGCGTTCAATGCTATGCATATGGCCACTAATACTCTACTTGAGCGTTACATGTTGTCTCTCTGTTTAAGCACTCGTACCCTAAATGCCCCGGCCGTTAGAATGGAATGCTGGGGCAAACCCTAGCAGCTGGCCGCGCAAAGACTGCAGAGCTTAAAAATTTCAATACACGGTGTTAAGCTATGACATCTCAACAGCGGACCTCGCCGGACCTGGCCACTATGCTGCCCGGCCCTCGGTTCAATGCGGCAGAGCAGGTTGCGACAGCTCAGGACTTTCAACGCGCTCTGCCCCCCTCGCCACCACAGCCTCGATTAGACGAGCAGACCATCGCGGAGCAGCGAGAGGCTCGCCGGGAGCGACGACGAATGAAACAGGCCAGCCCTCTGGAGGGCCGCAATGTCCGGCACAGCAGCACAGGGGACTCCGATGGAGGCCCAGCCAGTCCAACTCGCGCGCAACCACAACGGACACCACCGCCCATCAACACCAATAGTCCAGAAATAAACAACGCTGACATGGCAAGGTGAGACGCTCCGTTCCCGTCACGCAATCCAGGCCCTGGCTCACACATCGACCTCCCCTCCAACCCAACCCCGTACTAACAAATAACTACTCCAATCCTAACATGTTCTAAAAGGAATCTAAAAGGAGTCCAGAAACTGCTTAAACAAAACCCAAATCGGATTTGGCGCAGGTACGGCCTGGCGGTGGACACCGGCGACGTGGCCTCCCCCACGGCCCGACAGCCCCGGCAAAGCGTATCAAACACCGGACGTCAGAGCCCCGAGCCCCGGACCGCTTTCACGCCCACTGCCTCCGACCAGGGCTCCGACCTGGGCAGCCCCTCACGCAGGTTGGCGGATAGAAAGTGGGAGGCGGAGGGATTCTTGTGACGATGCAAGAAAAAAAATTAAGTGTGGTTGTCTGCAGCCTTTAAACTGCTATAATGATTGTAGTTATGCTGGACTGAAAAGGGGAGGAGGAGTAGGAAAAGGCAAGCGGTTGAGAAAGGGAGGACAGGAAGGAGGCAGTTAAGGCCGCGACGGGGAAGTAATGGCCTAAGCCACGTGATGTGGGTCGCCCCTGGGAGAAAGGGTGGGAAGAAGGAGGCAGGGCAGCGCCCTTAGGCAAATCTGCAAGCTGAAAAGGACCAGCGGGGCTAGCCAAGCGCCCCTTTTCATTATTATCCTTTATGCTGCATCGCCATTTGTTACCCTCTTCCCAGCTTCTTCGCGCACGCCCGCAAATGCACCCGCCTTCATGAGGCCCGTTGTCTCCACTTCCCCCGAAGCACTGCTCACACCGCTCATGTCCCCACTCTCGCGGTCAGAGAAGGTTTCGTGTTTCGTGTTCCAATGCACCTCATCATGGCACCTCATCATGGCAACACCCCACCCCACCCCACGACTCCCTGCAGGATCTCACGCACCGACCTGCATTCCTCGCGGGACAGCCTGGAGTCGTTGCCAGGGGTGTTTCGCGCCAACAGGAAGGGAAGCGGCTTCAAGCGGACGGTGAGATCGGGGTGAAATGATACGATGCAACAGCGATGGGTTGTTCCTACCGCGGATATCTAAAGCGTTAACCTGATTGGTGTGCGGAGGGGGGTGGGGAACTGCTAGGTGCCTGAAAGCCAGAAGTCGCCGCGGGCTCAGATCCCGAGACCGCGTTGAGGTAGCGGGTGGTGGTGATGATGGTGATGATAAATAATATAATTATAATAATATTACTAATAAGTAATAATAAGCAATAAGTAGCTAATAGTAAGGGTAAGTCAGGACGAGTGGTTAGCACGGCGGTTGTGGGATGGAGGGGAGGCGTAGTGGAGGAAGTGACCCACGGCCCCCGACAACATGACGGGTGGGAGCCCCCGGCCGTTCGATCTGGTCCACGGATTGATGCGTGAAGGAATTGCCGTACATTGTTGTCGTACATAGAGGAACAAGGGAATGGAGGGGGTGTGGTTAGGAAGCATGTGCGATATGGGGTTGGGGCGGGCACAGCCCACGTTACGTTCGTTTCTTGGGGAGTGGGAAGATATGCTTGACCAGGCCATTCATCCATCCATCCTCTCCTGCCGCTGACGCTGCCGCCCCCAACGCCATGCGCGCCGTATTGCCGTACAGAACAAGGCTGCAGCGGCTGGCGCCGGCGGCGCCAAACCGGCGTCCAAGACCGGTGTGGGAGAGATGCATGTAGTGGGCGAGATCGTGGGCGCCTCGGGCTTCAGCGCCCCCATGCTGTTCTGTCGGTGGGAGCTGGTGTATGAGCCAGCCAAGTCGTGGAAGGTGCTTCGGGGCCTCACACAGGTGCGTGGAACCCGGCAAAAAACCCCAAGTAAAGCACGGGCGAAATCCGACGAGGGCGGACTAAAACGCGTCCAAGCATCCAACTGGGCGGATAATGGGTGGAATATATACCTGCGCCTTTACTGGGGACGAAATGGCGAGGCAGGCAGTAGCACACCAGGCGGGGTAAGAAGCTCGTTCCCTTCCGATGCCCCAACAGTCCTCTCCCCCCCACCCTCCCACCCTCCCTCTCTCACCCCCAACTGCCCCCAAAGGGCTCCACTCACGCGTGCTGTCGGGAAGTGGCTGAGGACGACATGGTGGTGTGGGAGCACCCGCTGGATGTACACATGCAGACACAGAGCTTGCAGGTGAGCGAGGAGGAGGTGAAGGGGGAGGAGGTGAAGGGGGAGGAGGTGAAGGGGGAGGAGGTGAGGGTGGACGGAGGTTGGGGCGGTAGTAGAGCGATGGGAGCGATGCGGCGGGCGACGCGGGGCTGGAGTTCTGCACCAAGGAGGAGGAGGAGTCGCGCTGCATTGAAGTCCGCAATGGCGCTGCAGGGGGTAAATAGGATCGTGACTTGGGGGGGTAGGGGCTGGTGAACAAAACGGCCCGGAAGTTACTACTTCATGTCATGATGCTTCCTTCCAGCAGACATGCATACAAACACACACGTAGATGTACGAGCAATTCATTAACGCACACGCAAAACACACACGCACACGAAAACACCGTCCCTGCATGCGCGTGGGGTCCCTCTAACCCACCAGCTCCCTTGCCATCCTGGCCCCGACACCTTGCGCCCCCTCCCGCCCCACCCCCTCCAAGGGCTGGCCCTCACTGCTGCTGTACGTACACGCGCGCGATGAGACCAGCAATCGCGACGCTTTCGTGTCGTACGCGCTGGTGAAGCTGCCCACCACGTCGGGGCTCCATCACGTGTCCTCCCGTACCTGGTTCGCGGTGGAGACCAGCCGGGCGGCGGGGCACACGTTCTTCGGTGAGGGGGGGGGGCCCGGCCGTGGGGTGTGCACAGCCACAATCAACCACAGCCGATCAGTTCGCGGAAGGAAGAGGAGGAGAGCTCTTGTTGGGTCATAGGATGATGCAAGATGCGTTAGGATCAGGATTAGGACTGCCGACGTCGGACGCCCCAAACTGCTCTGGAGTCCGATGGTGGTGGTGGTGGTGATGGGGCATGTGGTGATGGGGCATGTGGTGATGGGGCATGCAGGTGGGTGATGTGAGGTAGTGGTTTGGGGGGATGGGAGATTCCCACACGCCGTCAGCGAATGTCGAGCTCAAAAAAGTGTTTTGCTCGACCAACTAACAACCACCTTTCTTCATTGATACATCTTGCCGTACTTCCTTACATGCGCTTGTTCCGTGTCAGGCTGGTACACGGGCCTTATCCCTAGGCTGGAGGACGAGGGCTTCATCACCAATCTGCGGCAGCGCGAGGACGCGGGGCCGTTCATCTGCACAGTGGGTGCGGGGGAGGTTCACCTGCGACTCAACATCCTCACCAAGGTGTGTGCGTGTGGGTGTATGGGTGGGTGTTGATCACTGACCGCGGGGTTTTAGGGGGGTGAGGGGGGGAATAGGGGGGGGAGGAACCGCCTCCGCCGTCACGGCACTGGCTCGTTGCGCGGGTCTTCATCCCGGAAAGGAGCTCATCGCTCAGGTTCCTCAGAACAGAGCAGAACGGAACGTCGCTGGAAAAACGCTGAAAATATCTAAAACACACACACACAAGGGAAGGGCGACGAGGGTCTGCGTGATGGATGTGAGGAGATGTGCTTTTTGATAATCTGGGTCGGGTGTGGGTGAGCTGTTGCGAGTGGCAGAGAGGGCCAGGCGCGGTGTGTGGATTTTTAACTAAAATAGTACTCTGAGCTGCGGGCAGGAGATGGCGAGGGTAGCATGTGCGATTGCGGGAAGGTGGAGCAGGTCGGCCCGGAGTGCGGGAGGGGCCCTCCCTCCCTCCCAGGGGGGGGGAATAAAAGGAACGAAGCTTGGCGTGTGAGCTCAGGCGGTGTGGAATGTGGAACTGGAGCTGTTTTCGTTCCTTGCTTCCTTCCTTGACCTGTACGGTATGTCTGCACCGCACCGATCACCGAAAATATTGCAACCGAACACCGTCATAACGCTGATTTCTGCAGTGCCGTCACCCCTAAAACCCCCCTAAAACCCCCCTAAAACCCCGCCGCCGGGCCGGTCCAGAACTTCGCCAACATCACGCACCGGGGCGGTGAGAGCCTGGCGGCGGCTCTGGAGCGACTCAACATGTCCGTACAAAAGTCGGTGATCATGGAGGTAGGTGGCGAAGGGCGGGCGTTGCGTCGTAACGGTCAGGGTCGAGCTGTGTTAGCATTCAAAGGTGGGCCGGGTATCATCGGGGCCACATATCGGGGCCATATACCTCTCCCGTGTACATGTTCCAACATTCAGATCGTTGTGTAGCCCCGTCCCGCAGCTGATCAGCAGCTGTGTCGCGGGCCCCCCCCTCCATGCCGCACCCCGCCAAAACTGCCACCTCACGACCACGAGATGAGACGAGGAAAGGGGACGGTATAGGCGGGGGTGCGCGAAGCCTCAGCTGCGGATGCGGATGCGGATGCTGCTCGCGTGGGACTTAGGTTCAATTGCCGGAGTTGCGCTTGTTATCCACCCCACCCCCCGTGCTGCCTGTGTCTGCCTGCATTCGATTGCCTCGGCTGCTGGTGGTGCTATTGCGGCTGCTGCTGTGCTGCTGATGGTGCTACTGTGCCTGCCGTGTGTCCTCCGCCTCCTCCGCCTCCTTCCGTTCCCTCTGCATGGCCTCTGCCCCCACCCTGGACGACCCTTCTTGGGGATCTGCTCCATTCGCCAGTGGTTATTCTTACCCCCCCCCCCCGGTCCCGCTTCTTGCATGTGTGATTACCCTGTGTGCGGTTGTTAGGAGCGGCGCCGCAGTCATGATTCCAACTTGTTGACTGAGGGACAGAAGCTGGTTCGCAGCGGGCGGGAGGAGCGGATGGCGCATGCACGGGCGGCGCTAGATGCCCGGCGGCGCGGCGACCAGGCCAGTCCTGCCGTCTCTGTATCGGGCAGGCAAGTACAAGCCGACAATGCAAAACAACGGGAAGTATTCCTGCGTTTCTTTTTCCCTCCCCGCCCACGTTCTCCCTCGGGGCCCCTGGCTGGGTCGACTCCTTAGAGCTGGTGGCGCTTTCCTTAGTGGCAGCTTAGCGGGGAAGTG